TAAAAATCAAAATGAACTAGACAGATAATTCAGGTGGTTTGCCACTGCTTTCCTTCTTATCCCAACCACAATCCTTAAAGGTTTTTTGTCAGCATATGTGACCACCCACTGCAATCCTTATATAAATATCACACCCCTCCCCCTTTTTAATCTCCTGTAATGCTCATTGTATAGAGAAAAGACAGTATCACAGGACAGTACACATCCTTACGTACACCATTCCTGTGCTCTTACATGTCTCTACATACACCATTCCCGTGCTCTAACATGTCCCTACATACACCATTCCTGTGCTCTAACATGTCCCTACGTACACCATTCCTGTGCTCTAACATGTCTCTACGTACACCATTCCTGTGCTCTAACATGTCCCTATGCCACCATTCCTGTGCTCTAACATGTCTCTACATACACCATTCCTGTGCTCTAACATGTCTCTACATACACCATTCCTGTGCTCTAACATGTCTCTACATACACCATTCCTGTGCTCTAACATGTCTCTACGTACACCATTGCTGTGGGCTAACATGTCTCTACATACACCATTCCTGTGCTCTAACATGTCTCTACATACACCATTCCTGTGCTCTAACATGTCTCTACGTACACCATTCCTGTGCTCTAACATGTCTCTACGTACACCATTCCTGTGCTCTAACATGTCCCTATGCCACCATTCCTGTGCTCTAACATGTCTCTACATACACCATTCCTGTGCTCTAACATGTCTCTACGTACACCATTCCTGTGCTCTAACATGTCTCTACATACACCATTCCTGTGCTCTAACATGTCTCTACATACACCATTCCTGTGCTCTAACATGTCTCTACATACACCATTCCTGTGCTCTAACATGTCTCTGTGTACACCATTTATGTGCTCTAACATGTCTCTACATACACCATTCCTGTGCTTTAACATGTCTCTACATACACCATTCCTGTGCTCTAACATGTCTCTACATACACCATTCCTGTGCTCTAACATGTCTCTACGTACACCATTGCTGTGGGCTAACATGTCTCTACATACACCATTCCTGTGGGCTAACATGTCTCTACATACACCATTCCTGTGCTCTAACATGTCTCTACGTACACCATTCCTGTGCTCTAACATGTCTCTACATACACCATTCCTGTGCTCTAACATGTCTCTACGTACACCATTCCTGTGCTCTAACATGTCCCTATGCCACCATTCCTGTGCTCTAACATGTCCCTATGCCACCATTCCTGTGCTCTAACATGTCCCTATGCCACCATTCCTGTGCTCTAACATGTCCCTATGCCACCATTCCTGTGCTCTAACATGTCCCTATGCCACCATTCCTGTGCTCTAACATGTCCCTATGCCACCATTCCTGTGCTCTAACATGTCCCTATGCCACCATTCCTGTGCTCTAACATGTCCTTATGCCACCATTCCTGTGCTCTAACATGTCCCTATGCCACCATTCCTGTGCTCTAACATGTCTCTACATACACCATTCCTGTGCTCTAACATGTCTCTACATACACCATTCCTGTGCTCTAACATGTCCCTACGTACACCATTCCGGTGCTCTAACATGTCTCTACGTACACCATTCCTGTGCTCTAACATGTCCCTATGCCACCATTCCTGTGCTCTAACATGTCTCTACATACACCATTCCTGTGCTTTAACATGTCCCTACATACACCATTCCTGTGGGCTAACATGTCTCTACATACACCATTCCTGTGGGCTAACATGTCTCTACATACACCATTCCTGTGGGCTAACATGTCCCTACATACACCATTTCTGTGCTCTAACATGTCTCTACATACACCATTCCTGTGCTCTAACATGTCCCTACATACACCATTCCTGTGCTCTAACATGTCCCTACATACACCATTCCTGTGCTCTAACATGTCCTTACGTACACCATTCCTGTGCTCTAACATGTCCCTACGTACACCATTCCTGTGCTCTAACATGTCTCTACATACACCATTCCTGTGCTCTAACATGTCCCTACATACACCATTCCTGTGCTCTAACATGTCCCTACGTACACCATTCCTGTGGGCTAACATGTCTCTACATCCACCATTCCTGTGCTCAAACATGTCTCTACATACACCATTCCTGTGCTCTAACATGTCCCTACGTACACCATTCCTGTGCTCTAACATGTCTCTACATACACCATACCTGTGCGCTACCATGTCTCTACATACACCATTCCTGTGCGCTAACATGTCTCTACGTACAGCATTCCTGTGCTCTAACATGTCCTTACGTACACCATTCCTGTGCACTAACATGTCCCTACGTACACCATTCCTGTGCTCTAACATGTCCCTACGTACACTATTCCTGTGCTCTAACATGTCCCTATGTACACCATTCCTGTGCTCTAACATGTCCCTATGTACACTATTCCTGTGCTCTAACATGTCTCTACATACACCATTCCTGTGCTCTAACATGTCCCTACGTACACTATTCCTGTGCTCTAACATGTCCCTATGTACACCATTCCTGTGCTCTAACATGTCCCTATGTACACTATTCCTGTGCTCTAACATGTCCCTATGTACACTATTCCTGTGCTCTAACATGTCCCTATGTACACTATTCCTGTGCTCTAACATGTCTCTACGTACACTATTCCTGTGCTCTAACATGTCCCTACATACACTATTCCTGTGCTCTAACATGTCCCTATGTACACCATTCCTGTGCTCTAACATGTCTCTACGTACACTATTCCTGTGCTCTAACATGTCCCTACGTACACTATTCCTGTGCTCTAACATGTCCCTACATACACCATTCCTGTGCTCTAACATGTCCCTACGTACACCATTCCGGTGCTCTAACATGTCTCTACGTACACCATTCCTGTGCTCTAACATGTCCCTACATACACCATTCCTGTGCTCTAACATGTCCCTAAGTACACCATTCCTGTGGGCTAACATGTCTCTACATACACCATTGCTGTGCTCTAACATGTCCCTACATACACCATTCCTGTGCTCTAACATGTCCCTACATACACCATTCCTGTGCTTTAACATGTCCCTACATACACCATTCCTGTGCTCTAACATGTCCCTACGTACACCATTCCTGTGCTCTAACATGTCTCTACATACACCATTCCTGTGCTCTAACATGTCCCTACATACACCATTCCTGTGCTCTAACATGTCCCTACGTACACCATTCCTGTGGGCTAACATGTCTCTACATCCACCATTCCTGTGCTCTAACATGTCTTTACATACACCATTCCTGTGCTCTAACATGTCCCTACGTACACCATTCCTGTGCTCTAACATGTCTCTACATACACCATACCTGTGCGCTAACATGTCTCTACATACACCATTCCTGTGCGCTAACATGTCTCTACGTACAGCATTCCTGTGCTCTAACATGTCCTTACGTACACCATTCCTGTTCTCTAACATGTCCCTACGTACACCATTCCTGTGCTCTAACATGTCCCTACATACACTATTCCTGTGCTCTAACATGTCCCTATGTACACCATTCCTGTGCTCTAACATGTCCCTATGTACACTATTCCTGTGCTCTAACATGTCTCTACATACACCATTCCTGTGCTCTAACATGTCCCTACGTACACTATTCCTGTGCTCTAACATGTCCCTATGTACACCATTCCTGTGCTCTAACATGTCCCTATGTACACTATTCCTGTGCTCTAACATGTCCCTATGTACACTATTCCTGTGCTCTAACATGTCCCTATGTACACCATTCCTGTGCTCTAACATGTCTGTACGTACACTATTCCTGTGCTCTAACATGTCCCTACGTACACTATTCCTGTGCTCTAACATGTCCCTATGTACACCATTCCTGTGCTCTAACATGTCTCTACGTACACTATTCCTGTGCTCTAACATGTCACTACGTACACCATTCCTGTGCTCTAACATGTCCCTAAAGGGTTGCTAATTCCTACAGCTGCTGCTAAGACACATTCTTTATTACTCGCAGATCTTTATTATCAATGTTTAACTGTTCTTCTTCGCGTTCACCGGGTGTGAACTCCAAAGAAAAGTTCCAGGACCTGAGTTTTGCATGCACATCCATTTTACATATCTGACTTATTTGTATGCAGACTGTTGGTATCTCGTGTCTTGGGCAGAGGTATCCGGACTCTGAAGGATGTATTATAGTTATTCTAAATGTATGACATTTGATCATATGTTTGTGTTGTACAAGAGCAGACTGTGAGGCTATCAGTTCCCATTTCACCACAACTGGGTCACTGGGTCACCCTATCATTGTTCCATTCCAGTGCCAGTCAAAACCATGCACTAATGCCCACAGCTGTCACATGTGAAAGGTCAAACAGAGGGCAGTCCCAGCGAACTTAAACAGCTCGCACACACATCAAATGCATAAGGCAGCTGCATGACCATATGCTTTTCTTTTGTAATCAATGAAACTTAAAAATACAGAAATAAAATCTGTTTTTACTTCTATAGCTTTATCTAACAGTGTCCTGAGAATGTACATAATACTGTTTTAGGCCCTCTGCCTGTAAATACAAGCTTGTTTCTACATTAATTGATGGTTCAATTTCATTGATACACTCTCATAATAACTCGTAATAACAGCTTCGTTACATGACCCACTGATTTACTGTACAATGATCATCACCCTGTGCCTGGTTTCTGTGGCAGAGCTATCATCCATGGATGTATTTGTGTCAAATCTATTCATAGGATAATCTTGAAAATGTCATTCACTGAGAACAGTGAATGTAACTATTTATCCAATGATAGCATCACATTCAATAGATCCATTTACTAGATAAACTGAAAGTAACCAGTATATTCCACTGAATCACTCACTAAGCTAACCACACCAACTCATTCATTCATAAATGTCCGCAGAATAACACCCCAGTCACCAAATCCACTGGCTCAGTGATAAACTGAAGGTAAACGGTCTATTATCCACAGAAAACCACTCACCATGTTGACCATATCCACAAACTGCTGATTGACCGGGAGCCGTAACTTCATTTTCTTGTAGAGAGGTGTGTGCTCATAGTGCTGTACCAGTTCGACCAGAGACTCGAACTGGGCATTACCAATTGTAAACAGCCGACCTTCCAGTTTGATTCGGCAATGTTTAATCTTGCCATCAGCCCTAGAAAGGTAGAGAAATTAGTCATTAACATATGCAAATGATTCAAAAGCATGGCTTATTTGGGTAGGCGGTGATATCATGGATAGTTGATGTTCTCATGTTTACAAAATGAGACTTTAAAGCTGATATTTGTTATAATGAAAAGTAATGAAATTATAACGTTTCAAACATCAACACAACCATGTGCACTGACTGTGGGGAAATGATGCCCACATGGGCAGCCACGTGGTGATGGTTTTGATAGCCTACCATGTACTTAATGAAATATATTTACCTAGCTGAGCGATTGACAACTCAAGGGGAAAACCATGACAGCATATGACTGACTGTCTGTCAGACTGACTGACTGACTGACTGACTGTCTGACTGACTGACTGACTGTCTGTCGCCAGAAATATCATGTCTAGGGCCGCCTGCATCTACACATTATTGTATAACCTGTAACCACATGCCTATGTCAAAACACGTCAGCCAGTTTTCAAGTCTGAGTGAAGTTGGACACAGACTTAGGACTTTAAATGGCAGGACTAGAGTGGGAAGGCAGGCTGTATAGAACATCAATGGGAGACTGGAGAGAATGTGAATATGAGGAGGAGAGATTGAATATTTTAATCTGAATATGCACGATGCGTGTTATCTACACACTACACATATGCAATTATTTCTGTTATGACATTCCCATCAGGAGTAAGGACCAGTCAACACTTTTCATAAGCAGATGGTCCAGTGTATGAACCTACATTGTATAGTGTGCTCAGCAGGCTGTGACAACATAGGCAGAGCCTCTCATTGAGGGCTGTCTAAGGTTTTATTTTTTTCAATTATTTTTGGTTGTTAAACTTATCATTACCATAAGAGCATCATTCTTATCTCAGATACTCCTTGCTCTAGCTGAAGCATCTCATTACCACCACACCATCAATGTTTGTTCAAATATTTTAAAATGACAAATGTCATCTAAATAAGAGATAGTATAATAAATCAGTATATCAAGTTTTATACTACATCATTTGTCAAATTCTAAGCGTATTTGTTCTTACATGTTTAACTAAACTAAAGTGTATATAGAATTACATTTCGTAGGGGATTATCTTTTCATTCTTTACCAGGAAGTGGTTGTCGGCAGGGATCACGCGCCCTGTCTAACAATTCATTAATTAAAGTCACACAGATATTTCAAACCCCTTTCCTTCTCTGATCGCTACCAAGTGCAGCTACTGTTAAAATATATTATGAGCCAAATTTTGTTGTTTTCTTGGACTATGGTATCAACTCTACTCAGACACTAGTCCAGATCCTTACGCCTATTCACAAGGAACACATGACAGTCTCCCTTTTTTCATCTGCCTTGCAGATTCCACAAAAAGACTGTACAGTTACACTATGATGAAGTCCACAACACTGCATCAGTATTCTCCCCTATCATGTTATTTATCAGATTTGACTAGCAGCAATTCCAAAAACCAGTGCCAGGTGCGGAAACAACCTTAGCTTTTTATGAAAAGATGCATTTGCCATATCTAAAAAAAGAAATCAGGTGCCTTATAAATGATGCCTGTCTCATCGGAAGTCTGTTTGTGTGCAGAAGTATGGGAAGTCAAGAGTAACTCATGAACAGATGCTGCCCTGTCTGGTGTAGTAACAGTCAAGTAACCATTCTCCCAGCAAAGAGTATCAGCAGCCAGACTATGTCAATGATACGTACCTGAATGATATGGCGTATGAATACTGATCTGTCCCGCTGTGTCGTACCAAGAAGGCCCCATCGTCTGGCACCCTCTTGAGCAACTCTTCTGCTGCCGTCCGACTCATGCCTTCATGATACCAGCTGCACAACAAATCAGACAAGGATGTTTATATACAACATCAGACAAGGATGTTTATACAACATCAGACAAGGATGTTTATACAACATCAGACAAGTATGTTTACACAACATCAGACAAGACAGAAACTACATTCCTAGATGTCATGCCTAGAAGAACTTCCTTGAAGGCAAGGGGTAAACGATTGATGTAATCAACTTCTATCTCTACAGTGTACAGGAGTGAGACAAGACAGAAACTACATTCCTAGATGTCATGCCTAGAAGAACTTCCTTGAAGGCAAGGGGTAAACGATTGATGTAATCAACTTCTATCTCTACAGTGTACAGGAGTGAGACAAGACAGAAACTACATTCCTAGATGTCATGCCTAGAAGAACTTCCTTGAAGGCAAGGGGTAAACGATTGATGTAATCAACTTCTATCTCTACAGTGTACAGGAGTGAGACAAGACAGAAACTACATTCCTAGATGTCATGCCTAGAAGAACTTCCTTGAAGGCAAGGGGGTAAACGATTGATGTAATCAACTTCTATCTCTACAGTGTACAGGAGTGAGACAAGACAGAAACTACATTCCTAGATGTCATGCCTAGAAGAACTTCCTTGAAGGCAAGGGGGTAAACGATTGATGTAATCAACTTCTATCTCTACAGTGTACAGGAGTGAGACAAGACAGAAACTACATTCCTAGATGTCATGCCTAGAAGAACTTCCTTGAAGGCAAGGGGTAAACGATTGATGTAATCAACTTCTATCTCTACAGTGTACAGGAGTGAGACAAGACAGAAACTACATTCCTAGATGTCATGCCTAGAAGAACTTCCTTGAAGGCAAGGGGTAAACGATTGATGTAATCAACTTCTATCTCTACAGTGTACAGGAGTGAGACAAGACAGAAACTACATTCCTAGATGTCATGCCTAGAAGAACTTCCTTGAAGGCAAGGGGTAAACGATTGATGTAATCAACTTCTATCTCTACAGTGTACAGGAGTGAGACAAGACAGAAACTACATTCCTAGATGTCATGCCTAGAAGAACTTCCTTGAAGGCAAGGGGTAAACGATTGATGTAATCAACTTCTATCTCTACAGTGTACAGGAGTGAGACAAGACAGAAACTACATTCCTAGATGTCATGCCTAGAAGAACTTCCTTGAAGGCAAGGGGTAAACGATTGATGTAATCAACTTCTATCTCTACAGTGTACAGGAGTGAGACAAGACAGAAACTACATTCCTAGATGTCATGCCTAGAAGAACTTCCTTGAAGGCAAGGGGTAAACGGATGTAAACGATTGATGTAATCAAGGGGTAAACGATTGATGTTCTATCTCTACAGTGTACAGGAGTGAGACAAGACAGAAACTACATTCCTAGATGTCATGCCTAGAAGAACTTCCTTGAAGGCAAGGGGGTAAACGATTGATGTAATCAACTTCTATCTCTACAGTGTACAGGAGTGAGACAAGACAGAAACTACATTCCTAGATGTCATGCCTAGAAGAACTTCCTTGAAGGCAAGTGGGGGTAAACGATTGATGTAATCAACTTCTATCTCTCTACAGTGTACAGGAGTGAGACAAGACAGAAACTACATTCCTAGATGTCATGCCTAGAAGAACTTCCTTGAAGGCAAGGGGTAAACGATTGATGTAATCAACTTCTATCTCTACAGTGTACAGGAGTGAGACAAGACAGAAACTACATTCCTAGATGTCATGCCTAGAAGAACTTCCTTGAAGGCAAGGGGTAAACGATTGATGTAATCAACTTCTATCTCTACAGTGTACAGGAGTGAGACAAGACAGAAACTACATTCCTAGATGTCATGCCTAGAAGAACTTCCTTGAAGGCAAGGGGTAAACGATTGATGTAATCAACTTCTATCTCTACAGTGTACAGGAGTGAGACAAGACAGAAACTACATTCCTAGATGTCATGCCTAGAAGAACTTCCTTGAAGGCAAGGGGTAAACGATTGATGTAATCAACTTCTATCTCTACAGTGTACAGGAGTGAGACAAGACAGAAACTACATTCCTAGATGTCATGCCTAGAAGAACTTCCTTGAAGGCAAGGGGTAAACGATTGATGTAATCAACTTCTATCTCTACAGTGTACAGGAGTGAGACAAGACAGAAACTACATTCCTAGATGTCATGCCTAGAAGAACTTCCTTGAAGGCAAGGGGGTAAACGATTGATGTAATCAACTTCTATCTCTACAGTGTACAGGAGTGAGACAAGACAGAAACTACATTCCTAGATGTCATGCCTAGAAGAACTTCCTTGAAGGCAAGGGGTAAACGATTGATGTAATCAACTTCTATCTCTACAGTGTACAGGAGTGAGACAAGACAGAAACTACATTCCTAGATGTCATGCCTAGAAGAACTTCCTTGAAGGCAAGGGGGGTAAACGATTGATGTAATCAACTTCTATCTCTACAGTGTACAGGAGTGAGACAAGACAGAAACTACATTCCTAGATGTCATGCCTAGAAGAACTTCCTTGAAGGCAAGGGGTAAACGATTGATGTAATCAACTTCTATCTCTACAGTGTACAGGAGTGAGACAAGACAGAAACTACATTCCTAGATGTCATGCCTAGAAGAACTTCCTTGAAGGCAAGGGGTAAACGATTGATGTAATCAACTTCTATCTCTACAGTGTACAGGAGTGAGACAAGACAGAAACTACATTCCTAGATGTCATGCCTAGAAGAACTTCCTTGAAGGCAAGGGGTAAACGATTGATGTAATCAACTTCTATCTCTACAGTGTACAGGAGTGAGACGAGACAGAAACTACATTCCTAGATGTCATGCCTAGAAGAACTTCCTTGAAGGCAAGGGGTAAACGATTGATGTAATCAACTTCTATCTCTACAGTGTACAGGAGTGAGACAAGACAGAAACTACATTCCTAGATGTCATGCCTAGAAGAACTTCCTTGAAGGCAAGGGGTAAACGATTGATGTAATCAACTTCTATCTCTACAGTGTACAGGAGTGAGACGAGACAGAAACTACATTCCTAGATGTCATGCCTAGAAGAACTTCCTTGAAGGCAAGGGGGTAAACGATTGATGTAATCAACTTCTATCTCTACAGTGTACAGGAGTGAGACGAGACAGAAACTACATTCCTAGATGTCATGCCTAGAAGAACTTCCTTGAAGGCAAGGGGTAAACGATTGATGTAATCAACTTCTATCTCTACAGTGTACAGGAGTGAGACAAGACAGAAACTACATTCCTAGATGTCATGCCTAGAAGAACTTCCTTGAAGGCAAGGGGGTAAACGATTGATGTAATCAACTTCTATCTCTACAGTGTACAGGAGTGAGACGAGACAGAAACTACATTCCTAGATGTCATGCCTAGAAGAACTTCCTTGAAGGCAAGGGGTAAACGATTGATGTAATCAACTTCTATCTCTACAGTGTACAGGAGTGAGACAAGACAGAAACTACATTCCTAGATGTCATGCCTAGAAGAACTTCCTTGAAGGCAAGGGGTAAACGATTGATGTAATCAACTTCTATCTCTACAGTGTACAGGAGTGAGACAAGACAGAAACTACATTCCTAGATGTCATGCCTAGAAGAACTTCCTTGAAGGCAAGGGGTAAACGATTGATGTAATCAACTTCTATCTCTACAGTGTACAGGAGTGAGACAAGACAGAAACTACATTCCTAGATGTCATGCCTAGAAGAACTTCCTTGAAGGCAAGGGGTAAACGATTGATGTAATCAACTTCTATCTCTACAGTGTACAGGAGTGAGACAAGACAGAAACTACATTCCTAGATGTCATGCCTAGAAGAACTTCCTTGAAGGCAAGGGGGGTAAACGATTGATGTAATCAACTTCTATCTCTACAGTGTACAGGAGTGAGACAAGACAGAAACTACATTCCTAGATGTCATGCCTAGAAGAACTTCCTTGAAGGCAAGGGGTAAACGATTGATGTAATCAACTTCTATCTCTACAGTGTACAGGAGTGAGACAAGACAGAAACTACATTCCTAGATGTCATGCCTAGAAGAACTTCCTTGAAGGCAAGGGGGTAAACGATTGATGTAATCAACTTCTATCTCTACAGTGTACAGGAGTGAGACAAGACAGAAACTACATTCCTAGATGTCATGCCTAGAAGAACTTCCTTGAAGGCAAGGGGTAAACGATTGATGTAATCAACTTCTATCTCTACAGTGTACAGGAGTGAGACAAGACAGAAACTACATTCCTAGATGTCATGCCTAGAAGAACTTCCTTGAAGGCAAGGGGTAAACGATTGATGTAATCAACTTCTATCTCTACAGTGTACAGGAGTGAGACGAGACAGAAACTACATTCCTAGATGTCATGCCTAGAAGAACTTCCTTGAAGGCAGGGGGGGTAAACGATTGATGTAATCAACTTCTATCTCTACAGTGTACAGGAGTGAGACAAGACAGAAACTACATTCCTAGATGTCATGCCTAGAAGAACTTCCTTGAAGGCAAGGGGTAAACGATTGATGTAATCAACTTCTATCTCTACAGTGTACAGGAGTGAGACGAGACAGAAACTACATTCCTAGATGTCATGCCTAGAAGAACTCTTCCTTGAAGGCAAGGGGTAAACGATTGATGTAATCAACTTCTATCTCTACAGTGTACAGGAGTGAGACGAGACAGAAACTACATTCCTAGATGTCATGCCTAGAAGAACTTCCTTGAAGGCAAGGGGTAAACGATTGATGTAATCAACTTCTATCTCTACAGTGTACAGGAGTGAGACAAGACAGAAACTACATTCCTAGATGTCATGCCTAGAAGAACTTCCTTGAAGGCAAGGGGTAAACGATTGATGTAATCAACTTCTATCTCTACAGTGTACAGGAGTGAGACAAGACAGAAACTACATTCCTAGATGTCATGCCTAGAAGAACTTCCTTGAAGGCAAGGGGTAAACGATTGATGTAATCAACTTCTATCTCTACAGTGTACAGGAGTCATAGTTTCTGTAATTCAGTCCGCTCTGTGAAGCCATTTTGTCATTCTGTGGTGGTAGGTTCGATTCCAACTGTGGGCAATTTGACAGCAAACCGACTTACATTAGTTTCAACAGTGTTAGCGAGAGTTGACCGTTCAGAAAACTATGGCAAACTCATCATTGTCATACAGCAGAGCTTTCCAAACTGTGTGTCACCTGAAGGTATGTCTGTTATCTCTACAGCAGAGATTTCCAAACTGTGTGTCAACATGTTACTCACTTAGTCTTGCCATTCTTCTCAAAAACCACATCTCTACTGCCTCCACTTTAGCCTAGATATTACTCACTTAGTCTTGCCATTCTTCTCAAAAACCACATCTCTACTGCCTCCACTTTAGCTAAGATATTACTCACTTAGTTCCACTTTGAACTTGAGCAGTGTGGACAATATTAGGTTGTACAACAAATGGAAAATGTTGGTATACTCCCTAATGATCCTGAGCCATTCAGCTCCATTCTGCTTTTTAATCACATGTTGTTAGAGGGTGGGAGGGGGGTCGAGGGACTTGCCATATACATTAAACAGGTGGGGGGGGGGGGGGGGGGGGGTCGAAGTACTTGCCATATACATTAAACAGGTGGGGGGAGGGGGGTCGAGGGACTTGCCATATACATTAAACAGGTGGGGGGGAGGGGGGTCGAGGGACTTGCCATATACATTAAACAGGTGGGGGGGAGGGGGGTTGAGGGACTTGCCATATACATTAAACAGGTGGGGGGGGAGGGGGGTCGAGGGACTTGCCATATACATTAAACAGGTGGGGTGGGAGGGGGGTCGAGGGACTTGCCATATACATTAAACGGGTGGGGGGAGGGGCAAAGGATTGCCATAAACTCAATGGAGGTGTTACCCAAAAAAGCTGGCGACTACTGCATTTAACTGTCCTTGCAGAAAATCCCAAACCATGCTGTACGTAATGGTGAAGCCAACAAACTAAAGACTCATTTATCCTTCAAGCCAACAAACTAATGACTCATTCATTCTTCTAGCCAAAAAACTAATTACTCATTTATTCTTCAAGCCAAAAAAAAACCAATTACTCATTCATTCTTCAAGCCAACAAACTAATTATTCATTCTTCAAGACAAAAAACTAATTATTCATTAAGCCAAAAAGCTAATTACTCATTCATCCTTCAAGCCAAAAAGCTAATTACTCATTCATCCTTCAAGCCAACAAACTAATTATTCATTTTTCAAGCCAAAAAAACTAATTACTCATTCATTTTTCAAGCCAAAAAACTAATTACTCATTCATTCTTCAAGCCAAAAACTAATTACTCAATTCTTCTAACCAACAAACTAATAACTCATTCATCCTTCAAGCCAACAAACTAGTGACCCATTCATCCTCCAAGCTACAAATTAATGTCTTAGAGCACTTAGGTAAAACAAATCTAGAGAGACTGACTGTTTATCCTCGTGGCTCTGTGGCTGAGGCACTGGCTCCTTGAGCACCTGGGTGAAGTCAGCGCTGCGCAGCGGGAACTGCCGGTAATGCATGATCAGGTGGTACAGACTGTCAAAGGTCACTGCATCGATCAGGTAGTACTTGACCTGTCCCCTTTCTTGTCTGGACTTGATCCGACAGTGGTTTACTTTTCCTTGGCGCCTGAAACAATCAGTTCAAGAATGCTGACTGACACACAATCAGTTCAAGAATGCTGTCTGACACACAATCAGTTCAAGAATGCTGTCTGAAACACAATCAGTTCAAGAATGCTGTCTGACACACAATCAGTTCTGACACACAAGTGCTGAATCAATCCTTAAACAATGAATCAAAGAATGTCATCTGACACACAAGTGCTGAATCAATCCTTCAACAATGATTGAAAGAATTTTATCTGACACATAATCAGTTGTGACACACAAGTGCTGAATCAATCCTTCAACAATGAATGAAAGAATGTCATCTGACACTTGTGGTCCAATACCAAAGACAGGCTGGCAGTCGCTTATAGCCCCAAAGTTTTGTTTGCTTCTGGAAATGATTTGCTAATAGTTTCCCCATGCTGTCCACAGGTTTGCTAATAGTTTCCCCATGCTGTCCACAGGTTTGCTAATAGTTTCCACATGTTGTCCACAGGTTTGCTAATAGTTTCCACATGCTGTCCACAGGTTTGCTAATAGGTTCCCTATGCTGTCCACAGGTTTGCTAATAGTTTCCACATGCTGTCCACAGGTTTGCTAATAGGTTCCCTATGCTGTCCACAGGTTTGCTAAAAGTTTCCACATGCTGTCCACAGGTTTGCTAATAGTTTCCCCATGCTGTCCACAGGTTTGCTAATAGTTTCCCCATGCTGTCCACAGGTTTGCTAATAGTTTCCCCATGCTGTCCACTTGCTGTCCACATGCTGTCCACATGTTTGCTAATAGTTTCCACATGCTGTCCACAGGTTTGCTAATAGTTTCCCCATGCTGTCCACAGGTTTGCTAATAGTTTCCCCATGCTGTCCACAGGTTTGCTAATAGTTTCCCCATGCTGTCCACAGGTTTACTAATAGTTTCCCCTTGCTGTCCACAGGTTTGCTATTAGTTTTCACATGCTGTCCACAGGTTTGCTAATAGTTTCCCCATGCTGTCCACAGGTTTGCTAATAGTTTCCCCATGCTGTCCACAGGTTTGCTAATAGTTTCCCCTTGCTGTCCACATGTTTGCTAATAGTTTCCACATGCTGTCCACAGGTTTGCTAATAGTTTCCACATGCTGTCCACAGGTTTGCTAATAGTTTTCCCCATGCTGTCCACAGGTTTGCTAATAGTTTCCCCATGCTGTCCACAGGTTTGCTAATAGTTTGCTAATAGTTTCCACATGCTGTCCACAGGTTTGCTAATAGTTTCCCCTTGCTGTCCACATGTTTGCTAATAGTTTCCACATGCTGTCCACAGGTTTGCTAATAGTTTCCACATGCTGTCCACAGGTTTGCTAATAGTTTCCACTTTCTGTCCACAGGTTTGCTGTCCACACTGGTTTGCTAATAGTTTCCCCATGCTGTCCACAGGTTTGCTAATAGTTTCCCCTTGCTGTCCACAGGTTTGCTAATAGTTTCCACATGCTGTCCACAGGTTTGCTAATAGTTTCCCCATGCTGTCCACAGGTTTGCTAATAGTTTCCCCATGCTGTCCACAGGTTTGCTAATAGTTTCCCCATGCTGTCCACAGGTTTGCTAATAGTTTCCCCATGCTGTCCACAGGTTTGTTGCCTAAGCTGTTGGGCTAAGTGCTGATGTAGATCTGTGAGCTGTGGAATCCCTTGTGATATTCAGTAAATGGTGCATGGCTGGTTGGTGTTTGGGCTGCCAGTTTGTTGTGAATGAGTACTTACTTCATCATGACAAATTGCAATTCTGGTGGCGACCATTGTTGGCACCTCTAGCAGCTGCTTCATGCATTGTTTCTGAATTTTTTCAAAAATAGCCTTAGCTCCCAGGTTGACCCAGCCTTAAGTGAGTACCAGGTAAAGTCATAGGAAGTAAAGGTGGCCGGCATGGTGCTGACCACATCAAACACTGAGTGCTGATTAGTCTACAAAATATAGGTCTAGCGCTATAAGCCTAAGCCGCAGCAGTTCCTCTGCTCGTTTCCTCCCTCCCTCAAGTCTGCCGTGGAACCACTTCTCGCTGAAGTGAAGTTCATCAACAGGTCGACCCTACAGATTCAATTAGAGTTACAGTACTGTAATATATCGTTACCCAGACATTGAGTAAGCGTTACAATACAGTCACATATCATTACCTAGGACACAGATATAATTAACAAACTGTTATTTACTTTTACCTGACAGTAAATATATAGTCAAAGTTAAAATACACTCATAAATCTTTACCTAGAGACTGCATCTGTCTGTGTCTCTCTATGTCTTCCTGTATCATGCATGTGTTTCTATGTCTCTATGTCTGTATCAATGCATGTCTATGTTTCTGCATCTGTCTGTGTCTCAGTGTGTCTATAGCTGTCCAGCAGAATTCTTATCTGCCTCCTGACAAGTTGTCCATCAGTGCTGACATCTCTCTGGAATGTCTCCTACAAAGAAAGATGGTGACCATGCATTCATTCAACAGTTGACCTATGAAGTGGCTCACCTCAATAGAAGCTGTATCATCATCCTCCATCTCCTCATCCTGGTCCTGACTTGGGGTCTCCTCGGCATAATACAGCTTGCTTCCATTCAGCACAAAGAAGTGAGGGTGCCACGTCTATGGAGACAAGGACAACAATGAAGTTTCGCTCACAAATAACAGTCTCATCTCTACCAATCAAACAGTAACAGATCAAACATTACATGACCTCATCTCTACAGATCAAGAAGTAACAGATCAAACATTACACAATCTCATCTCTACCAATCAAACAGTAACAGATCAAACATTACATGACCTCATCTCTACAGATCAAGAAGTAACAGATCAAACATTACACAATCTCATCTCTACCAATCAAACAGTAACAGATCAAACATTACACAGTCTCATCTCTACAGATCAAGAAGTAACAGATCAAACATTACATGACCTCATCTCTACAGATCAAGAAGTAACAGATCAAACATTACATGACCTCATCTCTACAGATCAAGAAGTAACAGATCAAACATTACACAGTCTCATCTCTACGAATCAAACAGTAACAGATCAAACATTACACAGTCTCATCTCTACGAATCAAACAGTAACAGATCAAACATTACACAGTCTCATCTCTACAGATCAAGAAGTAACAGATCAAACATTACATGACCTCATCTCTACAGATCAAGAAGTAACAGATCAAACATTACATGACCTCATCTCTACAGATCAAGAAGTAACAGATCAAACATTACACAATCTCATCTCTACCAATCAAACAGTAACAGATCAAACATTACACAGTCTCATCTCTACAGATCAAGAAGTAACAGATCAAACATTACATGACCTCATCTCTACAGATCAAGAAGTAACAGATCAAACATTACATGACCTCATCTCTACAGATCAAGAAGTAACAGATCAAACATTACACAGTCTCATCTCTACGAATCAAACAGTAACAGATCAAACATTACACAGTCTCATCTCTACGAATCAAACAGTAACAGATCAAACATTACACAGTCTCATCTCTACAGATCAAGAAGTAACAGATCAAACATTACATGACCTCATCTCTACAGATCAAGAAGTAACAGATCAAACATTACACAGTCTCATCTCTACGAATCAAACAGTAACAGATCAAACATTACACAGTCTCATCTCTACAGATCAAGAAGTAACAGATCAAACATTACATGACCTCATCTCTACAGATCAAGAAGTAACAGATCAAACATTACACAATCTCATCTCTACCAATCAAACAGTAACAGATCAAACATTACACAGTCTCATCTCTACAGATCAAGAAGTAACAGATCAAACATTACATGACCTCATCTCTACAGATCAAGAAGTAACAGATCAAACATTACATGACCTCATCTCTACAGATCAAGAAGTAACAGATCAAACATTACACAGTCTCATCTCTACGAATCAAACAGTAACAGATCAAACATTACACAGTCTCATCTCTACGAATCAAACAGTAACAGATCAAACATTACACAGTCTCATCTCTACAGATCAAGAAGTAACAGATCAAACATTACATGACCTCATCTCTACAGATCAAGAAGTAACAGATCAAACATTACATGACCTCATCTCTACAGATCAAGAAGTAACAGATCAAACATTACACAGTCTCATCTCTACAGATCAAAAAGTAACAGATCAAACATTACATGACCTCATCTCTACAGATCAAAAAGTAACAGATCAAACATTACACAGTCTCATCTCTACAGATCAAAAAGTAACAGATCAAACATTACACAGTCTCATCTCTACAGATCAAAAAGTCATGACACACAGGGTTACAGGATGATGATGATGATGGTGAGAAAATGAGATGGGCCACCAAATCTATAAATACACACAGAATAACAATTAGGAAAATGAAACAAAGCAAATACAAAATATAAAAGTTCAGATATCAGACAGTGCCGCAGAATCTATCAGATCACACAATGGAAAAGTAAAGTGAAGGAACCTTTTTCACACCATTAGGCGCACTTGACCTATATATTAGTAGACCAATCAGCAGCCGGTGGGCGACGTGATCAGCATCATGCCAGCAGCCTTTACTTCCCATGACTTCACTTGGCACTCATTTAAAGGTCGGATCGACCTGGAAGCCAATCTCATGTTGGGGGGGAGCGGGAGGTTGGTTCCGGCTTGATGTGGACAAACACAGGACCTTCAGATCCGCAGCTGAGCCTCTAGACACTAAACAATGGCAGCTGACCCACAGAATATAAGAACATTAAATAACCAGTTAAAAACTGTAACAACATAGGATAACAACATAGGATAACAACATAGGATAACAACATAGGATAACAACATAGGATAACAACATAGGATAACAACATAGGATAACAACATAGGATAACAACATAGGATAACAACATAGGATAACAACATAGGATAACAACATAGGATAACAACATAGGATGTCAGTAAATTATTTAAAACTCCTTCTTCAAAAGCATTACCAATGTAAGCAGACCCACAGACAATCCCTTACCCCATCATAGGGATCCTCCAGGTACAAGATGCCGTTCTTCACTGATGTGCTCAGATCCACCTCCAGGTTCCCTGGGACAACCAGACAAACCACATTCATTAACTGGTCATTTATTGTCACTGTCTGTTTCCTCAGTTCTGTTCATTCTTTACACAAATCTCTTCTAGCTCAAAACAAATGTCCTGTGAAAATGGCTCTTTCCTGTGAATGTGAACCAACTGTAATGTGCTCTCTTATCTTTTACATCGCCTGTGTAGTTAAGAAGTGAATGTGAATCAACTGTAATGTGCTCTCTTATCTTTACATCACCTGTGTAGTTAAGAAGTGAATGTGAATCAACTGTAATGTGCTCTCTTATCTTTTACATCGCCTGTGTAGTTAAGAAGTGAATGTGAACCAACTGTAATGTGCTCTCTTATCTTTACATCGCCTGTGTAGTTAAGAAGTGAATGTGAATCAACTGTAATGTGCTCTCTTATCTTTTACATCGCCTGTGTAGTTAAGAAGTGAATGTGAATCAACTGTAATGTGCTCTCTTATCTTTACATCACCTGTGTAGTTAAGAAGTGAATGTGAATCAACTGTAATGTGCTCTCTTATCTTTACATCACCTGTGTAGTTAAGAAGTGAATGTGAATCAACTGTAATGTGCTCTCTTATCTTTACATCACCTGTGTAGTTAAGAAGTGTATGTGAATCAACTGTAATGTGCTCTCTTATCTTTTACATCGCCTGTGTAGTTAAGAAGTGAATATGAATCAACTGTAATGTGCTCTCTTATCTTTTACATCACCTGTGTAGTTAAGAAGTGAATATGAATCAACTGTAATGTGCTCTCTTATCTTTTACATCACCTGTGTAGTTAAGAAGTGAATATGAACCAACTGTAATGTGCTCTCTTATCTTTTACATCACCTGTGTAGTTAAGAAGTGAATATGAATCAACTGTAATGTGCTCTCTTATCTTTTACATCACCTGTGTAGTTAAGAAGTGAATATGAACCAACTGTAATGTGCTCTCTTATCTTTTACATCACCTGTGTAGTTAAGAAGTGAATGTGAATCAACTGTAATGTGCTCTCTTATCTTTTACATCACCTGTGTAGTTAAGAAGTGAATATGAATCAACTGTAATGTGCTCTCTTATCTTTTACATCACCTGTGTAGTTAAGAAGTGAATATGAACCAACTGTAATGTGCTCTCTTATCTTTTACATCACCTGTGTAGTTAAGAAGTGAATGTGAATCAACTGTAATGTGCTCTCTTATCTTTTACATCACCTGTGTAGTTAAGAAGTGAATATGAACCAACTGTATTTAACAACTGCATGATCTTCAAGTATCAGGGCTCAATTGCCATGGCATATGGTTGTTGTTGTTGTTGTTGTTGTTGTTGTTGTTTGTGAAAGAAACTTGAGATTCCACCATGCCATATTCATAAAGAGACAGCAGTGTGTACACTGTAGCCAGTCATCTCTATGGAGACAGCAGTGTGTACACTGTAGCCAATCATCTCTATGGAGACAGCAGTGTGTACACTGTAGCCAATCATCTCTATGGAGACAGCAGTGTGTACACTGTAGCCAATCATCTCTGTGGAGACAGCAGTGTGTACACTGTAGCCAATCATCTCTATGAAGACAGCAGTGTGTACACTGTAGCCAATCATCTCCATGGAGACACCTCTACACTGTAGCCAGTCATCTCTATGGAGACAGCAGTGTGTACACTGTAGCCAGTCATCTCTATGGAGACACCAGTGTGTACACTGTAGCCAATCCTCTCTATGGAGACAGCAGTGTGTACACTGTAGCCAATCATCTCTATGGAGACAGCAGTGTGTACACTGTAGCCAGTCATCTCTATGGAGACACCAGTGTGTACACTGTAGCCAGTCATCTCCATGGAGACAGCAGTGGGTACACTGTAGCCAATCATCTCTATGGAGACAGCAGTACACAGTAGCCAATCATCTCCATGGAGACACCTCTACACTGTAGCCAGTCATCTCTATGGAGACAGCAGTGTGTACACTGTAGCCAATCATCTCTATGGAGACACCAGTGTGTACACTGTAGAAAATCATCTCTATGGAGACAGCAGTGTGTACACTGTAGCCAATCATCTCTATGGAGACACCAGTGTACACTGTAGCCAGTCATCTCTATGGAGACACCAGAGTGTACACTGTAGCCAATCATCTCTATGGAGACACCAGTGTGTACACTGGAGCCAATCATCTCTATGGAGACAGCAGTGTGTACACTGTAGCCAATCATCTCTATGGAGACAGCAGTGTGTACACTGTAGCCAATCATCTCTATGGAGACAGCAGTGTGTACACTGTAGCCAATCATCTCTATGGAGACAGCAGTGTGTACACTGTAGCCAATCATCTCCATGGAGACACCTCTACACTGTAGCCAGTAATCTCTATGGAGACAGCAGTGTGTACACTGTAGCCAGTCATCTCTATGGAGACACCAGTGTGTACACTGTAGCCAATCCTCTCTATGGAGACAGCAGTGTGTACACTGTAGCCAGTCATCTCCATGGAGACAGCAGTGTGTACACTGTAGCCAGTCATCTCTATGGAGACAGCAGTGTGTACACTGTAGCCAATCATCTCTATGGAGACACCAGTGTGTACACTGTAGCCAATCATCTCTATGGAGACACCAGTGTGTACACTGTAGCCAATCATCTCTATGGAGACACCAGTGTGTACACTGTAGCCAATCATCTCTATGGAGACACCAGTGTGTACACTGTAGCCAGTCATCTCCATGGAGACACCAGTGTGTACACTGTAGCCAGTCATCTCCATGAAGACACCTCTACACTGTAGCCAATCATCTCTATGGAGACAGCAGTCTGTTTTCAACAAACTCTTTTATCTTTGTTTTTTCTTTGGTTCAGATGCAACACTGTAAATATTAGCTAAATTAGCAGGAAGTTAGATTACATCTTATAACAATCAATAATTAGACTTGTAAACCAGTCTCTATCCACTGTAACAGATCCACCCACACAAGTGAGGCGGACAATTCTTTCACTACCTTAAATTATTCTCTGGAGACCAAACCAGTCATCTTATTTTGATAAATCACTTCACTGATAGTTTAGTTTTAAAGTCAACAAGGTTAATTCTTTTTCTAATTTTTTTCTGTTTCTTAACATCCCTATCTCATTTCCCCTATACGCATTTACTGCTTCGGAAACTCACTGGCGTGTATATTATTCACTGAAACATGTGAACTATTTATATGTGACTTTTTAGATCAATACCGATGCATTCTTGATTATTTTTGGATTGTGTGTTTGACGTGGACATAAATTGTCTGTATGACAGGACTGTGTTTGATATGAAAATGTATGATCTTTATCCCAGCATTGTGTGTTTGATGGAGAATGCAAGATGATGAAACAAATGTAAGGGGCAGTGTTCTGTCTGAAAGTGTTTCAGTTCATGTCTGGAAGTGTTTCAGTTCATGTCTGGAAGTGTTTCAGTTCATGTCTGGAAGTGTTTCAGTTCATGTCTGGAAGTGTTTCAGTTCATGTCTGCAAGTGTTTCAGTTCATGTCTGGAAGTGTTTCAGTTCCTGTCTGCAAGTGTTTCAGTTCATGTCTGGAAGTGTTTCAGTTCATGTCTGCAAGTGTTTCAGTTTATGTCTGCTAGTGTTTCAGTTCATGCCTGCAAGTGTTTCAGTTCATGTTTCAGAGATGCCTTACTGGTGTAAAAGCTACAGTTTTGTATTTCATGCTATAAGGCCAAGACTCAAGTGTTGGAAACCCACTTTCATGCCATTAAACCAAGACTCTAGTGTTGTAAATTCACTTTCATGCCATTAAACCAAGACTCTAGTGTTGGAAACCCACTTTCATGCCATTAAACCAAGACTCTAGTGTGGAAACCCACTTTCAAACCAAGACTCTAGTGTTGGAAACCCACTTTCATGCCATTAAACCAAGACTCTAGTGTTGTTAATCCACTTTCATGCCATTAAACCAAGACTCTAGTGTTGTTAATCCACTTTCATGCCATTAAACCAAGACTCTAGTGTTGGAAACCCACTTTCATGCCATTAAACCAAGACTCTAGTGTTGGAAACCCACTTTCATGCCATTAAACCAAGACTCTAGTGTTGGAAACCCACTTGCATGCCATTAAACCAAGACTCTAGTGTTGGAAACCCACTTTCATGCCATTAAACCAAGACTCTAGTGTTGTTAATCCACTTTCATGCCATTAAACCAAGACTCTAGTGTTGGAAACCCACTTGCATGCCATTAAACCAAGACTCTAGTGTTGGAAACCCACTTTCATGCCATTAAACCAAGACTCTAGTGTTGGAAACCCACTTTCATGCCATTAAATCACGACTCTGGTGTTGGAAACCCACTTTCATGCCATTAAACCAAGACTCTAGTGTTGGAAACCCACTTTCATGCCATTAAATCACGACTCTAGTGTTGGAAACCCACTTTCATGCCATTAAACCAAGACTCTAGTGTTGGAAACCCACTTTAATGCCATTAAATCACGACTCTAGTGTTGGAAACCCACTTTCATGCCATTAAACCAAGACTCTAGTGTTGGAAACCCACTTGCATGCAACTGAGCTCCTTAAAACCATGGGCCCCATTGAGAACTGATGAGGCCCTAAGCTATATAAAGCCCTGAGGCCAATAGCCTTTTTAATTTCACCAGCTAACCTCAGAAAGTCAAAATATATACAACATTTAAATATATAGTAAAGTAAGTAAAGGTCACTTTTCCACGCCTTTAGGCGTATTGGGCATATAGGGCTAGACCTATATTTGTATAGACCAATCGCACTTGGTGGGTAATGCAGTCAGCATGACACCTGTTGTCTTTACTTCCCATGACTGCATCTGGTACCCACTCAAGGCTGGGTCGACCTGGGAGTCAAGGTCATTTTAATTTTTTTTTTTAAGTCAAGCTCCATCAGGATACGAACCCACGACCCTAAAAAGGCAGGTATTTAGTCGCCAATGCCACAGCAACTCTTTTAAATATACAAATAATGTAAATATATTGTTTAATTTTTATTAAAAGAAATGATAAACAATGTGTTTCCATAAAAACACAAATATCACATCATCCTCTAAACAGCTCTCAATAACAACTTCAAACATTTCCTCCCTGATTTCAAAATGCAGTATCATTGATTGCAATGTACATGAAGCCGATTAATTGAATCAATTTAAACAGGAGGCTACAACAAGTTAGAACAAATAAAAGCCTGAGACAATATACCCACACACACAATTAATAAAAATTCAAAAACATTCTTGGTGGAAATGTAATATATATAAAAAGACAATTGCATAAAAAATATAAAATGTATTTTAAGGACCAAGCAAGGGTGTGAGCGTTGTTTGAGAAGTTCCCTTTTGCCCAAACAACGGTGTCATCGTCGATCGTGTGTGCCCTACATTTTGCTTCGCACACACCCCCTAACTAGTTTCTAATGTTCGGAGGTACAATTAAACTATTCAAGGAACTCTTCTTTTATTCAACAGTGAATTTTTTAAGTTCATTTTCGAGTGCCATGAATACTAATGTTCCAACCACAAGTACAGGTCGCAGAATGCGTCTTTCTGTGGCCGAAGCTCTGAAATTGTTTCAGTTAGATGTTTTTAATTCTGATAATGATAATAAAAATTTAGATTTTTCAGAAAGTGATTCGGACGGTGAATTTTCACCAGCGAAGCTGAGCGATCAGCTGTTCGGAATCTAGCGATTCTGATAAGTTTATTACACTGACAATGTCCCATACTACAGTATTTATGGTGTGAGAGAAGGAGATGGCTCTAAAGAAATAGATAGTACTATACTATGGCTAAGCTACATTGAAATCATCGCAGCTACAGTCTGTAAATAACTACAAAGTAAATAGTAAATAGTGTGTGTGTAATGGCTCATTTTTCTGCCATGTTTTCTCTGAAATTTTGCTCAGCACTCAGAAAGTTATCATAACTTTGGAATATGTAAAGAAATTGAACAAACTTTGAAGTTTTGTTCTTAAATTTGGATATTTACTACTCTTGTGGCTGCAAAACCATGGTAAGTGAAGAATTTTTTTGTGAAATGTTGTCCTTGTGAAATTAACACCTGCTGAATTTTTCTTTCCTACTAACTATAACACAATTAAACAAACATTTAAAATCAGATTCAAAATGAACATTCATTTCTCTTGTTAAAAATATATACTTTTATAGCCTTTCTTGTACACATACCCTTCTGCCATTTTTGTAAATGGAAATTAATGTGGGCCAAGTCTGTCAAAATTCATGGGCCTGAAAGAGTTAATATTAAAAAAAAAAAAAAATTTGTTTAAAGCCCTTGCAGACTGAGATTTGTTTAACACAGGCTAAAAAGACTGCAGCCAAGAGATCTCTAAGAGTTTCATGAGAGCCAAGAAACTGACCACTGTCCTCTGTGGAGACTGCATAACGCCACTCATTGCCATCAACCCATTCTGGAAGTTTCTTGTGCTGAAATGAAACCAGATATTACGTATATAAAGTGGTATCACTGATTGTAGTGTTGTCAAATATCATTTGCACCATATGTAGCTGGCTTCCACAGAATAACATACAGCCTTTCTGACTAAAAACATATACAGGCTAATTTACTGTAATAACAAACAGCCTCTCCGACCAGAAACATATACAGGCTGATTCACTAAAATAACATACAGCCTCTCTGACTAGAAACATATACAGGCTGATTCACTATAATAACAAACAGCCTCTCTGACCAGAAACATATACAGGCTGATTCACTGTAATAACAAACAGCCTCTCCGACCAGAAACATATACAGGCTGATTCACTATAATAACATACAGCCTCTCTGACCAGAAACATATAAAGGCTGATTCACTGTAATAACATACAGCCTCTCTGACCAGAAACATATACAGGCTGATTCACTATAATAACATACAGCCTCTCTGACTAGAAACATATACAGGCTGATTCACTATAACATACAGACTCTCTGACCAGAAACATATACAGGCTGATTCACTATAATAACATACAGCCTCTCTGACCAGAAGCATATACAGGCTGATTCACTATAATAACATACAGCCTCTCTGACTAGAAACATATACAGGCTGATTCACTATAACATACAGCCTCTCTGACCAGAAACATATACAGGCTGATTCACTATAATAACATACAGCCTCTCTGACCAGAAACATATACAGGCTGATTCACTATAATAACATACAGCCTCTCTGACCAGAAACATATACAGGCTGATTCACTTTAATAACATACAGCCTCTATGACTAGAAACATATACAGGTTGATTCACTATAATAACATACAGCCTCTCTGACTAGAAACATATACAGGCTGATTCACTATAATAACATACAGCCTCTCTGACTAGAAACATATACAGGCTGATTCACTATAATAACATACAGCCTCTCTGACCAGAAACATATACAGGTTGATTCACTATAATAACATACAGCCTCTCTGACCAGAAACATATACAGGCTGATTCACTATAATAGAAACATACAGCCTCTCTGAGCCCAGAAACATATACAGGCTGATTCACTGTAATAACATACAGCCTCTTTGACCAGAAACATATACAGGCTGATTCACTGTAATAACAAAACAGCCATATCTTTGACCAGATAACAGCCTATACAGGCTGATTCACTATAATAACATACAGCCTCTCTTACCAGAAACATTTACAGGCTGATTCACTATAATAACATACAGCCTCTCTGACCAGAAACATATACAGGCTGATTCACTATAATAACATACAGCCTCTCTGACTAGAAACATATACAGGCTGATTCACTATAATTACACACAGGTCATCTAATTCCCTACAAACTTATGTAGTCTAATTCACTTCAGTCAGAGGTAGATTACTTCATTACAGCCCTACACAGTCTAATCCACTATAACTACAAAAATACCACAGCCATACAGTGTCATTTACTAGAAGCATATACATCACAAGAGACCTTACCTTAAGAATGATTTTGAACTTCAGCTCACTAGGGGAGGGAAGCACTGCTGCATCTTTCTGTAATGGTTCCACCAATAGTTTATCTAGAAACGGATTCAAGATGCAGGATTTACATAGAGAGCAGAACACAGAAAGCCAATATCAGAACCATATACAGTAAAACATCATAAACACAAGCTCGCATAAGACAAACCGTTTTTTTTTAAAAAACAAACTCTTGACTTGTCAGTGCCATAGAATCAATGCTAATGAGATTTTGCTGTATACAAAATGTCTCCCACAGAGGCACGAATTAAATACAGAGGAGTACAAGAAAGTAGAAATGGAAGTACAAACTAGACAATATAAACACTGACATCTGTAGACTGTCGGCATTAAATGATGATGGTATCTGGCTGAAAGAACATGTGCAATCTGATGCATGGTCTTCTTCTTCTATCGTCATGCCATCATCTGGTTGTATCAACTCAACTAAATACCTACAGCTTTCAATGTTCAATGTCTTTTTCTGTCACCAGCCACATTGGTAGGATGGCAAGCATTCTTATCTGTCAGCCCTGTGACTATAGGTTTCAATCCTCACCTTGTGGATTTTAGTAAATGAAACAGGTTTCATCAGGTCATACTCACCTAAGTGTGGTACTCAGAAACCAATGAAATTTTTTCTTATTGTTTGTATAATTAATATATGACAACTTAAAAAATACTCTGTCCCTGGATGGGAAGGGATGTTTTGGGAAAACACCACATCCAGGCTTTTGATCTCTGTCTGCCCTAGACAGCCAAAGCCAGGGTCAAACTCTGCTCTAGACAGCACCTCCAAACAACTGGGGTCAAACTCTGCTCTAGACAGCACCTCCAAACAACTGGGGTCAAACTCTGCTCTAGACAGCCAAAGCCAGTATCAAACTCTGCTCTAGACAGCCAAAGCCAGTATCAAACTCTGCTCTAGACAGCCAAAGCCAGTATCAAACTCTGCTCTAGACAGCCAAAGCCAGTATCAAACTCTGCTCTAGACAGCACCTCCAAACAACTGGGGTCAAACTGTCCTTGGCACCACTCAGTCAAAAAAATAGAGCTAAAAGATCATCCAGAGAACCTTACCTCCAAATGTTTCTCTAAAAGCGATTGCCATGTTTCTTTGCTGACTTAAGCTGCAGTGGTTTTCAATTGACAGTATCAGTGGAAACCTAAAAAAAAAAAAAAAAAGAAACACTTTAGCAGATATGCAGATTAGCTTTCAGTGATCAGTTTCAGGAAAACTGGATACAATAGCAACGAAAACAGTTTCTACTTCAGCAATTATCTAGGATGACATTCAGTGAACACAGTCAGTGGATGCTGAAGTCAAATACCTGAAACTTTAGTAGTTTTTTATAGCAGCTCTCTAATGACAAAGTCAACATGACACTGACAAATCATCAGATAAAATATTCTGTTCTCTTCTCGTTTGTCCTTAGAAGAATGGTGACTACAGTGTCTCTACTTTCTGCAAATTTGTGAAATGTGTGATTTCTAGTCAACATCTATAAATGCTGTCTGTTCTCATTACGATCTGACCAGCTACAAGCGAACCATCTTCATTTGCATTCACTGTATCAAGTAGCAAAGTTATATAAACTGTTACAAGACACCACTGGTCCGCTGCTCATCAAAACAAACAATGGAATAATATCTGAAGAAAAAACTAATATGCATATCTGAAATCAGTAAGAAACCGAGAACTCACTCAGAAGTCACCCAAGCGTGATCATTGATGATCTTCAGAACATCCGTGAACTTGATCTTGGAGGTCAATGTGTGGCCATGGTAGATGTTGGGGTAACCATCAGGTCCATCCCAACAATCCACTGTCAGTGTGTACAAACAAATGAATGCAAACTTTTGCCCAGACATAAATACATACATACATACAAAAGCAAACTTAATAATTGCTTATGAAAACAGATAGCATTCATTCACTAAGTTTCCTATCTTTTCGTCTTTCTCTTAGAAGGATGTTGAGCTACCTTACAGTCTTTACTGGTCTTTTCTACCTGGGATGTAGACTTACCTCACAGTATTTGTTGGTCTTTTCTATTACGGATGTAGAGCTACCTTACAGACTTTGTTGGTCTCTTCTACCCCAGGATGTAGAGGTACCTTACAGTCTTTGTTGGTCTTTTCTACCCTGGGATGTAGAGGTACCTCACAGTCTTTGTTGGTCTCTTCTACCCCAGGATGTTGAGGTACCTTACAGTCTTTGTTGGTCTTTTCTACCCCGGGATGTTGAGGTACCTTACAGTCTTTGTTGGTCTTTTCTACCCTGGGATGTTGAGCTACCTTCAATCTTTGTTGGTCTTTTCTACCCTGGGATGTAGAGCTACCTTAGTCTTTGTTGGTCTTTTCTACCCTGGGATGTAGAGGTACCTCACAGTCTTTGTTGGTCTTTTCTACCCTGGGATGTAGAGCTACCTTACAGTCTTTGTTGGTCTTTTCTACCCTGGGATGGTAAGTTATCTTACAGTCTTTGTTGGTCTTTTCTACCCTGGGATGTAGAGATACCTCACAGTCTTTGTTGGTCTTTCCTCTTCTACCCTGGGATGTAGAGCTACCTTACAGTCTTTTTTGGTCTTTTCTACCCTGGGATGTAGAGCTACCTTACAGTCTTTGTTGGTCTCTTCTACCCTGGGATGTAGAGGTACCTTCAATCTTTGTTGGTCTTTTCTACCCTGGGATGTTGAGGTACCTTACAGTCTTTGTTGGTCTTTTCAACCCTGGGACGTTAAGGTACCTTACAGTCTTTGTTGGTCTTTTCTACCCTGGGATGTAGAGCTACCTCACAGTCTTTGTTGGTCTTTTCTACCCTGGGATGTAGAGGTACCTTACAGACTTTGTTGGTCTTTTCTACCCTGGGATGTTGAGGTACCTCACAGTCTTTGTTGGTCTTTTCTACCCTGGGATGTAGAGGTACCTCACAGTCTTTGTTGGTCTTTTCTACCCTGGGATGTAGAGGTGCCTCACAGTCTTTTTGGTCTTTTCTACCCTGGGATGTTGAGGTACCTTACAGTCTTTGTTGGTCTTTTCTACCCCAGGATGTTGAGCTACCTTACAGTCTTTGTTGGTCTTTTCTACCCTGGGATGTTGAGGTACCTTACAGTCTTTGTTGGTCTCTTCCCTTCTACCCTGGGATGTTGAGCTACCTCACAGTCTTTGTTGGTCTTTTCTACCCTGGGATGTTGAGGTACCTCACAGTCTTTGTTGGTCTTTTCTACCCTGGGATGTAGAGATACCTCAATGTCTTTGTTGGTCTTTTCTACCCTGGGATGTAGAGCTACCTTATAGTCTTTGTTGGTCTCTTCAACCCTGGGATGTTGAGGTACCTTACAGTCTTTGTTGGTCTTTTCTACCCTGGGATGGTGAGGTATCTTAAAGTCTTTGTTGGTCGTTTCTACCCTGGGATGTAGAGGTACCTCACAGTCTTTGTTGGTCTTTTCTACCCTGGGATGGTAAGTTATCTTACAGTCTTTGTTGGTCTTTTCTACCCTGGGATGTTGAGGAACCTTACAGTCTTTGTTGGTCTTTTGTAGCCTGGGATGTAGAGCTACCTTACAGTCTTTGTTGGTCTCTCCTTTTCTACCCTGGGATGTAGAGCTACCTTACAGTCTTTTTTGGTCTTTTCTACCCTGGGATGTAGAGCTACCTTACAGTCTTTGTTGGTCTCTTCCATTCTACCCTGGGATGTAGAGGTACCTTACAGTCTTTGTTGGTCTTTTCTACCCTGGGATGTTGAGCTACCTTACAGACTTTGTTGGTCTTATCTACCCTGGGATGTAGAGGTACCTCACAGTCTTTGTTGGTCTTTTCTACCCTGGGATGTAGAGCTACCTTAGTCTTTGTTGGTCTTTTCTACCCTGGGATGTAGAGGTACCTTACAGTCTTTGTTGGTCTTTTCTACCCTGGGATGTTGAGCTACCTTACAGTCTTTTTTGGTCTCTTTTCTACCCTGGGATGTAGAGCTACCTTACAGTCTTTGTTGGTCTCTTCCCTTCTACCCTGGGATGTAGAGCTACCTTACAGTCTTTTTTGGTCTCTTCCCTTCTACCCTGGGATGTAGAGCTACCTTACAGTCTTTGTTGGTCTTTCCTTCTACCCTGGGATGTTAGAGCTACCTTACAGTCTTTGTTGGTCTTTTCTACCCTGGGATGTAGAGCTACCTTACAGTCTTTGTTGGTCTCTTCTACCCTGGGATGTAGAGCTACCTTACAGTCTTTGTTGGTCTTTCCTCTTCTACCCTGGGATGTTGAGCTACCTTACAGTCTTTGTTGGTCTTTTCCCTTCTACCCTGGGATGTAGAGGTACCTTACAGTCTTTTTTGGTCTCTTCCCTTCTACCCTGGGATGTAGAGGTACCTTACAGTCTTTTTTGGTCTTTTCTACCCTGGGATGTTGAGGTACCTTACAGTCTTTGTCGGTCTTTTCTCTTGTACCATGGGATGCAGAAGTATTTTAGAGTTAGTATTTCCCTTCAGCCTTGGATGTTCTTCTGCCTGTGAAATATCTTACTCAGATATTTGACCACATTACACAGTAGGCACTAGTACATCATCAACCTGATAAAAGCCTATCACACATTTATCTCCAGGTAAATTTATCTCCAGGCCTGACCTCCTACTGTAGCATTCAACTTAGCTTCCAAGTGTGGTCCTCATCTGACAGCAGCTGTTCTTGTTAGGACCACTGTGTATCCATTCCACCACCCCAAGAGGATGTTCTGAAACACCATCCTGTACCATAGAGGTAAGCTACGGCAGTCATGGTTTGCTTTCAGTCCCGATCACCAGTCTCAGATTAGGTCTGTGTTCTTGTCATGATTATACCATGCAGTAAAACCCTCCGGGTGATTATCTCTTTGCCTCTTCCTTTCTGTTTTTTTTTTTTATGATGTTTCATTATCAATTACCAATATCATCATAATCCGATAACTGTTGCTGCTGACTGTCTGATCAGATCCCTCTACTTCTGATGGTCAGATTAACAGACTTGACATTTGCATGTTTGAGGCCTGTTTTGTCAGCCAAATTTTGTCTCCAGATCTATCCTAGTCTGCCTTTTCTCTTCTACAGAGTTCGACGCCTGTCTATTTGATCAAATTTTGCATCCAGGTCTTTCTAGGCCTGCTCTTTTTCCTCTTCCCCTTGAAGGATCCTCTTAGACAGGCCAACAGATCTTGTTACATGTCCATATTATTGCCTATTGTAATGGCGTTGACATAATACATGTTCAACTGTTGGTTACATGTTCTTCTGAAGTTATCATCAATGACCTCCCCATTGTATCATTCTGGTTCCTGTCACATCAACCAGAGAAATGACAAAACTTACACTCCATGAAACTGGTTCCTGACAATACCATGATATCACTTCTGGTATTATTCTGTCACACATCTACCAGAGAAATGACAATACTTACACTCCAAACAGTGACAAACCATGATATCATTCTGGTTCCTGTCACATCTACCAGAGAAATGACAATACTTACACTCCAAACAGCGACAAACCATGATATTATTCTGGTTCCTGTCACATCTACCAGAGAAATGACAATACTTACACTCCAAACAGCGACAAACCATGATATCATTCTGGTTCCTGTCACATCTACCAGAGAAATGACAATACTTACACTCCAAACAGTGACAAACCATGATATCATTCTGGTTCCTGTCACATCTACCAGAGAAATGACAATACTTACACTCCAAACAGCGACAAACCATGATATCATTCTGGTTCCTGTCACATCTACCAGAGAAATGACAATACTTACACTCCAAACAGCGACAAACCATGATATCATTCTGGTTTCTGTCACATCTACCAGAGAAATGACAATACTTACACTCCAAACAGTGACAAACCATGATATCATTCTGGTTTCTGTCACATCTACCAGAGAAATGACAATACTCACACTCCAAACAGCGACAAACCATGATATCATTCTGGTTCCTGTCACATCTACCAGAGAAATGACAATACTTACACTCCAAACAGCGACAAACCATGATATCATTCTGGTTCCTGTCACATCTACCAGAGAAATGACAATACTTACACTCCAAACAGTGACAAACCATGATATCATTCTGGTTCCTGTCACATCTACCAGAGAAATGACAATACTTACACTCCAAACAGCGACAAACCATGATATCATTCTGGTTCCTGTCACATCTACCAGAGAAATGACAATACTCACACTCCAAACAGTGACAAACCATGATATCATTCTGGTTCCTGTCACATCTACCAGAGAAATGACAATACTTACACTCTAAACAGCGACAAACCATGATATCATTCTGGTTCCTGTCACATCTACCAGAGAAATGACAATACTCACACTCCAAACAGCGACAACCCATGCGGAGAGCTCGGGCATAAGCTTCAGCAGAAGAGCTACTGTACAGCTGGTCTCCTGTCAGGTACCTTTATGGGACACAACCAAATAACAACAGTCAAATTTTCTCCCTGTACTTCTGACTGATCTGTCTGACTGATCTGTCTGACGCATCTGTTTGTGTGATCTTTCTGACATTATTGGTTTTGGATAGCACAAACATCAATGTTATTTTCAATGATAAGAAAACGGTTGTAATATGGTATGCAAGATACAAATCCTGCCTAAGGTTTAATAAAGTAAATGGGGCAAGAAGACAAACTTGAAGTATTCATACACAAAATTAATATCTGATAGGAATCATGAAAGTACAATGGTTAGTGCACCTGCTTACCACCAAAAGTGGTCTAGATTCAGTTCCCAGCAATGATGACATTATTTTTCATAACCATATATATATGTCATCGCCCTAACCTTATAAAATCGATACTGGATAATTTTCAGAAAATTAAAACTGTATGTGAAGAAAAAGTGAGAGAGACCTGGTCCCTTCTCCTCCCTATGCCAAGGCCTCATATTCCTCACACATATACAGCAGTACATGCTATGAGAAGTCTATGTTTGGATGTTTGATGAAACCTCTAAAAGACTTGAATCAGAAGAACAAACGGTTGTGTGCCATACAACAATACATGCTATGAGAATCCATACAGAAGCTCTGCCTGTGTGTAAACATGACCTATAAAGGAAACAAAGGAAAGTTAGTCAGGAGATGAGACTCATTGCACACTGAACTATTCAGTGGATAAGTGCACAGATCGTCCCCTCAGTCAAAATGTGTGTGTCATAGTTCATGACATTCATTCTCTTTTGGTTTCCTGGAAAGTGCTTCATCTAGCCTCACCCCTTTTAACTCGCTGTTCTGCACTGCAGATTTACATCTATCACTTGATTCTCACAAATATCTTACTTCTTGTACAGCCTTCAGTCCACTGCTTGTCAGCCTCTGCATTAGCCTCATCTGTAAGCCTATCAGCTTGTTTCTTTTCTTGAACACATGCATATCATGGCCAGAAACAATAAAACTAAACTTGTTCAGCCAGAAAGCACAAAACCACTGCAACTGACTAAGTCTATCTCCGTGCCAAAGTCAAGATGTTAGCCTTTGCTATGAGGGTCATGGTTTTGTTCCACAGCTGCGCACACTCAGTTCAGGGGTGCTTTTTATTTTTCACAGAAATCCCTGGGGATCATCGCTGGAGCTAAGGAGTTCAAGCTCTGTGAGGTGTTCTCAACAGGCGGCTAGCCTTTCTGCAGAGAGATAATGAGCCAAATGGGATCAAACCCGGCGCAATAAAGTCGATCCTCTCGACTTTTCAACTGTAACTTTGCATGTTAAATGAGGATGAAATCAGCATTAAATATCGTGTGAATCAATGATTTATCACTGACTGATTCTCTGACAACGTATTGTTAGACAGTGCTTTATGATCGAGCTCATGAAGACTTACGTATTGTGAGAGGAAGCAATCCAGTACATACACAGTGGCTGGCTCATGTCTTGTGTGATACTATCATACTTGTTGTCAAACAACGGATTGTGTTGTGAGAAGAGGAAATCTTCAAACTGAAAAACACACAAATGACCAGTTTGAGTCTGCCCATCAAAAATTGAAACAAAAGTGTGTACCTAGATCCTGGGAACAAACATTAAGTACAAATTCATTAAAAAAATTTTAAAACTATTTATTTATTTATCTTTATGTTTGCCCCCCACTTTTCAGCAGAAGTCTTTTAATTTGTTTCATTCTGTAATATAGCCCCTCATCTCCATACTTTTCCCAATTATTATGTACTTCTGGTTCCATGTTGACCAAAGGCTGTTTATGAGCTTTCATTATTTTGTCTGCTGAGTTTTCCAGTCACAGTTTTTGTTGTTTTTAAAAATTCACTTGATCGAGACATTGGTCCAAATGATTTGTTGTACCTGTGTGTGTCTTTTCCCTTGAGCTTCCTATTCAATCTGATTGTACACTTAACGGTTGTTAGTACAGAAACCAAGATAAACAGTGGACACATTGGTATTCTTAGGAATGGTCTAAAACCATCAGTTTTGTATGTACAGACTAAATTATTTTGTATATATGTACAATCATAGATCTTTTACAGAATAACAGAAGGTTTTTATGATATCGCCACTTCTTTTCTATCTGATTTTTAAAATGTAAACTTTTTTTCCCCAATAATTTTGTGGCTTTTTGATTGCTAAAAAAATTTGTTTTTTAACGCTTGGTTCTGGTTTCACAAACGCTCTTGTCATTCTGTAAGTAATACAATGTTAACTGTTACAAAAATGATAGGCAGTATTTGAGATCAAAGTTTTTCTCAAGCCAACAAACAAACAAATTGCCAAAATGAGAAAGCAGGGGGTGGGGGTTCTTGATATGACATAATCATTAGAACAATCCTGCTGCATGCATATGTATGACCACCCTCTGGGGCAATAGTTCTCAACCTTCCTAGTGCCGTCACCCACAGGTTGAGAACCACTTCTCTAGGGCATGTAGTTCATCTTGTCTCTTCAGTTTAGAAACATGTACACAGTCGCATCTCTTAACCTGCTTGCCATTCTTATACTTCAAGCATCTTAGATGCTCCTTCTCTTCATATGCAGGCCTGAAGAACTGCAAACTTAATGTACTTGTGTGAGGCAAACTTGTCTTTAGTACAGTGAGCCCAGACCAGGATCATTTGAATTCTGAGTTTTTCCTGAAACACATCTACTAAGTAGTTTAGGGTCCCCAAATGTTTTGGCATCACCATCAGACAGTATTGATGTTTAGTGAAGCTTATGACGGGCCACAGGCTGCTGCAACAGCATTTGTGCAGCCTCCACCTCCACCACTCCAGCTGATCCTGCTCAACTGTTATCACTGGTCTCTGTTATCACTGGTCTCTGTTATCACTGGTCTCTGTTATCACTGGTCTCTGTTATCACTGGTCTCTGTTATCACTGGTCTCTGTTATCACTGGTCTCTGTTATCACTGGTCTCTGTTATCACTGGTCTCTGTTATCACTGGTCTCTGTTATCACTGGTCTCTGTTATCACTGGTCTCTGTTATCACTGGTCTCTGTTATCACTGGTCTCTGTTATCACTGGTCTCTGTTATCACTGGTCTCTGTTATCACTGGTCTCTGTTATCACTGGTCTGTCTTCCACATTCCATACTTCACATTCAGCTAGTTTGGATCTGGAAAGTGTCTTACTAGTGGTTTCACACACCTGACAATATGTGAACACAACATGCACATCAATGCAAAGTCCTGTAAGGACATCAACTGTACAGACAACTCCAACGTAGGATGTCTGCTCTCTCATCAGCCAAGTGCCATCAAGGCTGACAGTAATATCCAGCACATCACTGTCATGTAGAGTGATGCCTGCCTGTTGTGCATGGACTTTCTGAACATGCTTCATGGTTGGAGAGAAAACCATGTGCTCCAGATCATACTTCATGGTTGGAGAGAAAACCATGTGCTCCAGATCATACTTCATGGTTGGAGAGAAAACCATGTGCTCCAGATCATACTTCATGGTTGGAGAGAAAACCATGTCCTCCAGATCATACTTCATGGTTGGAGAGAAAACCATGTGCTCCAGATCTGCTAAAATCATGTGTTTGTTGTGAAATGTTTTGTGATGAAGACCTTGCAGATTCATTTTTCCCCCCAAACATTATTGAACCTTGTTGCAGCCATTCTATCAAATCATGCAGAATAAACACATCTGGTCATCTTAGTTTCATCTTCATAGCAAATGGGTCACCCCATAGTTGCTCCGCTCCTGTGCCAACGAAAAACACACAAAATGCTTATCACCGTTCAAATGAAACCCGCAGCTCACAGTGTTACGCCATGCACTTAACTCAGAAGCTGGAGTAAATAGATTGGTTGTTGATGGCAGAAGATCTATCCCCATCATTACTCTACTCCTGAAGCTGTGTATCTTCCACAAACAACTTCTTTACAACAAGAGCAGTACATTTCTGCATGCAAAGCTAATCCTTTAAGCTAATCCTTGAGCTTTCTTGTTGTCAGTTGTATTTTTACATACTGCACAACAAACATTTTGATGATTTCATCAATTCAAGAAAAGTCAACGACTCCTCCTCTGTTCTCCAGTTCTGTCCTCTGTTCTCCAGTTCTGTCCTCTGTTCTCCAGTTCTGTCATCTGTTCTCCAGTTTTGTCATCTGTTCTCCAGTTCTGTCCTCTGTTCTCCAGTTTTGTTCTCTGTTCTCCAGTTCTGTCATCTGTTCTCCAGTTCTGTCATCTGTTCTCCAGTTCTGTCATCTGTTCTCCAGTTCTGTCATCTGTTCTCCAGTTCTGTCATCTGTTCTCCAGTTCTGTCATCTGTTCTCCAGTTCTGTCCTCTGTTCTCCAGTTCTGTCATCTGTTCTCCAGTTCTGTCCTCTGTTCTCCAGTTCTGTCCTCTGTTCTCCAGTTCTGTCCTCTGTTCTCCAGTTCTGTCCTCTGTTCTCCAGTTCTGTCATCTTCAGAAACACACATGCTGCTAGAGGAGGAGGTCATGTACTCATACATGTCTCTTTGAAACTGGCTTCAGGCTTTTTCCTGCAAGAAATGGCTGACACAAAGACAAACACAGCAGCGGACAAAGGAACACAATCAATACCTCAATTTGTGTGAAGAAAAGTCCCGCGGCTGCTCGCACTTGGTCATCCAGAAACTCCAGCATCAGATGTTTCACATAGCCAACATCGCTGGCCTTGACTTCCTGTACACAACAACACATGATCACCAAGAATTAGGTCATCCAGTTAAACTGAGGTTCAGGACTGGATCCAGTCTCACAAACATTTGTGCTTTACAATTGAGAATTCCCGAAAAATCCTTTTTTTTTTAAAAACAGCAACCATTTTACACCCGTCACTAATATATTTTTTGCAGTATATTTACCTAAACTTTTGAAACATAAATAAGGCATATAAAGAGGCTCATTAAAAAACATGATTACAGTGAAGCACAAAATTTACAGAGGCCAAAAACAAATATATACTGGGTGACTCATGCCTTGATCGCTATCACTGAGGCTCAGAGGAAAATTTAACATCAACTTCACTTGTAAAAATTCACTGGGGTCAAAGTGCTATTTTAGTTAAGGCATCCATATGTGAGCCTACTAAACACTGTGCAGTGCATACAGGACCAATGGAATTTAACGACACTTTTCAAAAACAGGTCACAACAGAATGTTCATTCATCTGCATTTCCCGGTCTGTGTGACAACTGGAAGTAACTAGATTTAGTCTTCTCGAGGCGACAGGGTTAACTGAGTAAAGGGCAATCAAGGAGAGCATTTCACCCGTGTGGGTTCAAGAGCCCCATTGTGGGGAAAACAAGAAAAGACCCACTGCCTCCCCATAAGCATGTCGTAAGAGTCGACTAATTGGGGAGCTTCCTTTGAAGTCGGAGTGCATCTGCCGGAGAGGCAAGGAACCAACAGTCTGTATTCAAGAGAATGAGATCTGTAAAACTGATGCACACGCAACACTCAGGTTCTGGAGCAGGACTGCAGTTCATTAGTGGACAAGCAACCAGAACCTTCCGCCAGAGTTTACAGCTGGTGAACGCGAAGAAGAAGAAGAAGAAGAAGGAGAAGGAGGAGGAGGAGAAGAAGAAGAAGAAGGAGAAAGAAGAAAGGAGAGAAGAAGAGGAGGAGAAGGAGGAGGAGAAGGAGGAGAGGAGGAGGAGGAGGAGGAGAAGAAGAAGAAGAAGAAGAAGAGAAGAAGGAGGGAGGAGGAGAAGAAGAAGAAGAAGAAGAAGAAGAAGAAGAAGAAGAAGAAGAAGAAGAAGAAGGAGAAGAAGAAGAAGGAGAAGAAGAAGAAGAAGAAGAAGAAGAAGAAGAAGAAGAAGAAGAAGAAGAAGAAGAAGAAGAAAAAGAAGAAGAAGAAGAAAAGAAGAAGAAGAAGAAGAGCAGTGCAATGATTTTGTGCAGGTCTACTGTTTCACACTAATGGTAGTATCTACTACAGGATGACCTTTAACCCTTTCACCTTGAGAAGCCATAACTGCAGCCTTGCAACTGTTACAAATCCTCACAAGGTCCATATTCCAGCAATACAACTTTGGCTAATGCCCGCTAAACTTATACAACAGCTTAAGTACTGAGACTGTGAGGTGTTTGGATGAGAACAGTATTATTAAAAAACAGCATCTGAGGGATTTTAATTGTGAAAGGCAAAATCAGTGCTTTTTTTATTTTAAATCATTAAGATATCATAATAATTGACCTTCAGTATTTATTTGTGCTGTGTCACTGTTTAATATTTTGGGGAAGTGAAATATGTAATTTAATGTTTCTTCTTTCACCTTTGTAATATGCTCTTCTAGGGGTATGTGTTAATTCGCATTGCTTTCAGACGAACAGTGAGTTGAAACGACACAGCATGAATGAATATTGAGTTGTTTGCTTTTATTCGTTGAATCGCCACCCAATTATCGCACACATACATTCTCGCTCCCTCGTGCTCGTCTTGCTTGGCTGAATCTAGCGACCTGGTCGGACTTCTCACACACTACAGGAATTTATCAGCATCTCTCGAGCCATCCATCTATCCTTCACGAACCCTGATACCTGACATTACGACGCGTGGAAAACATTCAATCCTTCTTCTTCTGTTTTTTTACCACCCAATGAAGCAAAGGGCCTAAAAAACGCATGCCAATTGAGCCTATCTTTTGATATCTCAACTCACTCCATGTCCTTTCCATCCTTTTCACTACACACTTTAGCTCCCACTCCACATTTATTTTTTATATTTGTGCTGACTTTATTCCTCTGATCCTGTGGGTTCTAGTGCAATGACTTTCAAGTTAGATTATTATCATGTTGTCTTACAATTCCTATCCAACACCAACTCTTTGCTTGCTGCTGAAGGTGAGCACGAAGTGCTTGTGGGAGTGTCTCAAGCGCTATGATGTTGATTCCTAATTCAAAATTCATTCAAACACCAGCATCTTTTTGTCCCCTCTTGACTCACAGAATTCTGTTATTGTCCTCAGCAAATTCTACATTAGTAATGTTATCATACCATTTCATTTCCTCTAAGTAAGTATAGGACCCTTTTCCACGCCTTTGAGGGTATAGGGCATATAGGGCTAGACCTATATTTTATAGACCAATCAGCACAAGATGGGTGATGTGGTCAGCATCACGCCGGCCGCCTCTACTTCCCAGGACTGCACCTGGAACCCACTCAAGGTGGGGTTGACCTGGAAGCAAAGATCATTTTTTTTTAAAGTCAAGCTCTCATTTCCTCCAAGGTTGTAAATATTCAATAACAAGAAATTCAATCCTAAAAATAAAGTCCAACCACTCATAACTGATGACACAACTTACTTTTTGTTCTTCAATAAGAAACTGCTGGAAACTTTCCAATCTCATTCTCCTGAAATCAGCCAAATTAATCATTACTAAAATGAACAGACAAAAACAATACATTTTAAACACTTGCACATGCATGAATGCAGCTTCCTCCCCCCCCCTTTCCCAGCATGTGTGCACACACAAAGAGAAAGAGAGATAGAGAGAGAGAGACAAAGCTAGATGAAGATAACAGGAGACCAAGAGACGGGATGCTGGGCAGTTAAGTTGGACAGAACAACAGATACAGTGGTTAGATGTGATTACCTACCCCTACACAAGGCTCATATCAAACAATATAACTATCAACCCCTACCCCTACACATGGCTCATATCAAACAATATATCAACCCCTACCCCTACACATGGCTCATATCAAACAATATATCAACCCCTACACATGGCTCATATCAAACAATATATCAACCCCTACCCCTACACATGGCTCATATCAAACAATATATCAACCCCTACCCCTACACATGGCTCATATCAAACAATATATCAACCCCTACCCCTACACATGGCTCATATCAAACAATATATCAACCCCTACCCCTACACAAGGCTCATATCAAACAATATATCAACCCCTATCCCTACACATGGCTCATATCAAACAATATATCAACCCCTACCCCTACACAAGGCTCATATCAAACAATATAGCTATCAACCCCTACCCCTACACAAGGCTCATATCAAACAATATATCAACCCCTACCCCTACACATGGCTCATATCAAACAATATATCAACCCCTACCCCTACACATGGCTCATATCAAACAATATTTCAACCCCTACCCCTACACAAGGCTCATATCAAACAATATATCAACCCCTACCCCTACACATGGCTCATATCAAACAATATATCAACCCCAACCCCTACACAAGGCTCATATCAAACAATATAGCTATCAACCCCTACCCCTACACAAGGCTCATATCAAACAATATATCAACCCTTACCCCTACACATGGCTCATATCAAACAATATATCAACCCCTAACCCTACACAAGGCTCATATCAAACAATATATCAACCCTTACCCCTACACAAGGCTCATATCAAACAATATATCAACCCCTACCCCTACACATGGCTCATATCAAACAATATAACTATCAACCCCTACCCCTACACATGGCTCATATCAAACAATATATCAACCCCTACCCCTACACATGGCTCATATCAAACAATATAGCTATCAACCCCTACACATGGCTCATATCAAACAATATAACTATCAACCCCTACCCCTACACATGGCTCATATCAAACAATAAAACTATCAACCCCTACCCCTACACAAGGGTCATATCAAACAATATAGCTATCAACCCCTACACAAGAGTCATATCAAACAATTTAACTATCAACCCCTAACCCTACACAAGGGTCATATCAAACAATATAACTATCAACCTCTAACCCTACACAAGGGTCATATCAAACAATATAACTATCAACCTCCACCCCTACACATGGCTCATATCAAACAATATAACTATCAACCACTACCCCTACACAAGGGTCATATCAAACAATATAACTATCAACCTCTACCCCTACACAAGGGTCATATCAAACAATATAACTATCAACCACTACCCCTACATAAGGGTCATATCAAACAATATAACTATCAACCTCTACCCCTACACAAGGGTCATATCAAACAATATAACTATCAACCACTACCCCTACACAAGGGTCATATCAAACAATATAACTATCAACCTCTACCCCTACACAAGGGTCATATCAAACAATATAACTATCAACCTCTACCCCTACACAAGGGTCATATCAAACAATATAACTATCAACCACTACCCCTACACAAGGGTCATATCAAACAATATAACTATCAACCTCTACCCCTACACAAGGGTCATATCAAACAATATAACTATCAACCTACCTACCCTACACAAGAGTCATATCAAACATATAACTATCAACCTCTACCCCTAAACAAGAGTCATATCAAACAATATAACTATCAACCACTACCCCTACACAAGGGTCATATCAAACAATATAACTATCAACCTCTACCCCTACACAAGGGTCATATCAAACAATATAACTATCAACCTCTAACCCTACACATGGCTCATATCAAACAATATAACTATCAACCACTACCCCTACACAAGGGTCATATCAAACAATATAACTATCAACCTCTACCCCTACACATGGCTCATATCAAACAATATATCAACCCCTACCCCTACACATGGCTCATATCAAACAATATAGCTATCAACCCCTACACATGGCTCATATCAAACAATATAACTATCAACCCCTACCCCTACACATGGCTCATATCAAACAATAAAACTATCAACCCCTACCCCTACACATGGCTCATATCAAACAATATATCAACCCCTACCCCTACACATGGCTCATATCAAACAATATAGCTATCAACCCCTACACATGGCTCATATCAAACAATATAACTATCAACCCCTACCCCTACACATGGCTCATATCAAACAATAAAACTATCAACCCCTACCCCTACACAAGGGTCATATCAAACAATATAGCTATCAACCCCTACACAAGAGTCATATCAAACAATATAACTATCAACCCCTAACCCTACACAAGGGTCATATCAAACAATATAACTATCAACCTCTAACCCTACACAAGGGTCATATCAAACAATATAACTATCAACCTCCACCCCTACACATGGCTCATATCAAACAATATAACTATCAACCACTACCCCTACACAAGGGTCATATCAAACAATATAACTATCAACCTCTACCCCTACACAAGGGTCATATCAAACAATATAACTATCAACCACTACCCCTACATAAGGGTCATATCAAACAATATAACTATCAACCTCTACCCCTACACAAGGGTCATATCAAACAATATAACTATCAACCACTACCCCTACACAAGGGTCATATCAAACAATATAACTATCAACCTCTACCCCTACACAAGGGTCATATCAAACAATATAACTATCAACCTCTACCCCTACACAAGGGTCATATCAAACAATATAACTATCAACCACTACCCCTACACAAGGGTCATATCAAACAATATAACTATCAACCTCTACCCCTACACAAGGGTCATATCAAACAATATAACTATCAACCTCTACCCCTACACAAGAGTCATATCAAACAATATAACTATCAACCTCTACCCCTAAACAAGAGTCATATCAAACAATATAACTATCAACCACTACCCCTACACAAGGGTCATATCAAACAATATAACTATCAACCTCTACCCCTACACAAGGGTCATATCAAACAATATAACTATCAACCTCTAACCCTACACATGGCTCATATCAAACAATATAACTATCAACCACTACCCCTACACAAGGGTCATATCAAACAATATAACTATCAACCTCTACCCCTACACATGGCTCATATCAAACAATATAACTATCAACCCCTACCCCTACACAAGGGTCATATCAAACAATATAACTATCAACCCCTACCCCTACACAAGGGTCATATCAAACAATATAGCTATCAACCCCTACCCCTACACAAGGGTCATATCAAACAATAAAACTATCAACCACTACCCCTACACAAGGGTCATATCAAACAATATATCTATCAACCCCTACCCCTACACAAGGGTCATATCAAACAATAAAACTATCAACCCCTACCCCTACACAAGGGTCATATCAAACAATATATCAACCCCTACCCCTACACAAGGGTCATATCAAACAATATAACTATCAACCCCTAACCCTACACAAGAGTCATATCAAACAATAAAACTATCAACCCCTACCCCTACACAAGAGACATATCAAACAATATATCTATCAACCCCTACCCCTACACAAGAGTCATATCAAACAATATATCTATCAACCCCTACCCCTACACAAGAGTCATATCAAACAATATATCTATCAACCCCTACCCCTACACAAGAGACATATCAAACAATATAACTATCAACCCCTACCCCTACACAAGAGTCATATCAAACAATATATCTATCAACCCCTACCCCTACACAAGAGTCATATCAAACAATATATCTATCAACCCCTACCCCTACACACGGGTCATATCAAACAATATAACTATCAACCACTACCCCTACACAAGAGTCATATCAAACAATAAAACTATCAACCCTTCCCTAAATGGACAGATATCATGAAAATCTGGTCTGGGTACAACCAAGACTTGGAACAGAGACAGAGACCATAAAGATCTGGTCTGGGTACAACCAAGACTTGGAACAGAGACAGATACCATAAAGATATGGTCTGGGTACAACCAAGACTTGGAACAGAGACAGATACCATAAAGATCTGGTCTGGGTACAACCAAGACTTGGAACAGAGACTGCTGCAGATCCATTACAGTTCATATTTTGGTTAAACATCTTCCAGTTTCAATAATGTCCAAATAAAATATACCAAAATTCTTCTGCTTACTTTTCTTCCCCAAATGGTTCAAAATACTTTTCAAAGTTTTCATCTGTGATCTGTGGGAAGAACAACAGAGATAAGATAAGACTACATAAATAAGTAGGTTACACACACCAATATACCTAATGCATCCCGCTAAGTAGAGGCGGCCGGCGTGATGCTGACCACATAACCCATCTTGTGCCATTGGTCTATAAAATATAGGTCTAGCCCAATCTGCCCTATACGCCTAAAGGCATTGAAAAGGGTCCTTTACTTTGTTTACACCTAATGCAAAAACACTGGTTCACACCTGAAAACAAATATAAAGTCAGGGTGGGAGATGTGTGTCAAAGCCTAACATACTCCACACACACACACAAATAGACGCACAAAAGAAAAATTAACGCCTAAAACAAACAAACAAACAAAAATGAGAAAGGAAAACAAATATTAAAAAGAAGAACAGACACCCCAAAGACAAACAATCTGCTCTGTAGATGCCTCCCACTCCAGCATATTTGAAAAGCAGCTCCAGGTAAGCTCTTCTAGAAGATCATTCAGTCAGCTCAAGTACCTGATGGTGCTCCTGGAAGCCAACGTTATCACAGCAACCTACAGATTCATACCTCAGACCATGCACTGATAGATTCCATTCTGTTCTCCCCTTTGATTCTAGCAGGAAATAGCCAACCATGTTTTTCTTATCAATGCACACAGCCATCGGTTAGCTGGGCTAGAACTGTTATATATCAGTCGCTAGACTTCCAGTTTTGCTAGCTCACCGCACAATTCTCTGCCAGCCCAACACACCACTCTCTGCCAGCCCAACACACCATTCTCTGCCAGCCCAACACACCACTCTCTGCCAGCCCACAGCACCATTCTATGCCAGCCCAACACACCACTCTCTGCCAGCCCAACACACCACTCTCTGCCAGCCCAACACACCACTCTCTGCCAGCCCAACACACCATTCTCTGCCAGCCCAACACACCACTCTCTGCCAGCCCAACACACCACTCTCTGCCAGCCCAACACACCACTCTCTGCCAGCCCAACACACCATTCTCTGCCAGCCCACCGCACCATTCTATGCCAGCCCAACACACCACTCTCTGCCAGCCCACCACACCATTCTCTGCCAGCCCACCGCACCACTCTCTGCCAGCCCAACACACCACTCTCTGCCAGGCCACCCCACCATTCTCTGCCAGCCCACAGCACCATTCTATGCCAGCCCACCGCACCATTCTATGCCAGGCCACCGCACCATTCTATGCCAGCCCACAGCACCATTCTCTGCCAGCCCAACACACCACTCTCTGCCAGCCCACAGCACCATTCTCTACCAGGCCACCGCACCATTCTCTGCCAGCCCACCGCACCATTCTCTGCCAGCCCACCGCACCATTCTATGCCAGCCCAACACACCATTCTCTGCCAGCCCACCACACCATTCTCTGCCAGCCCACAGCACCATTCTCTGCCAGCCCACAGCACCACTCTCTGCCAGCCCACCACACCATTCTCTGCCAGCCCACCACACCACTCTATGCCAGCCCACCGCACCACTCTCTGCCAGCCCAACACACCACTCCCTGCCAGCCCACTGCACCACTTTCTGCCAGCCCAACACACCACTCTCTGCCAGCCAACCGCACCACTCTCTGCCAGCCCACCGCACCATTCTCTGCCAGCCCAACACACCACTCTCTGCCAGCCCACCGCACCGCTCTCTGCCAGCCCAACACACCACTCTCTGCCAGCCAACCGCACCACTCTCTGCCAGCCCACTGTACCATTCTCTGCCAGCCCATTGTACCATTCTCTGCCAGCCCATTGTACCATTCTCTGCCAGCCCATTGTACCATTCTCTGCCAGCCCACAGCACCATTCTCTGCCAGCCCATTGTACCATTCTCTGCCAGCCCACCACACCACTCTATGCCAGCCCACTGTACCATTCTCTGCCAGCCCACCACACCACTCTATGCCAGCCCACTGTACCATTCTCTGCCAGCCCAACACACCATTCTCTGCCAGCCCACCACACCACTCTCTGCCAGCCCACCACACCATTCTCTGCCAGCCCACCACACCATTCTATGCCAGCCCACAGCACCATTCTCTGCCAGCCCAACGCACCATTCTCTGCCAGCCCACAGCACCATTCTATGCCAGCCCACAGCACCATTCTCTACCAGGCCACCCCACCATTCTATGCCAGGCCACCCCACCATTCTATGCCAGCCCAACACACCATTCTCTGCCAGCCCACCACACCATTCTCTGCCAGCCCACAGCACCATTCTATGCCAGCCCAACACACCATTATCTGCCAGCCCACAGCACCATTCTCTGCCAGCCCACAGCACCATTCTCTGCCAGTCCACAGCACCATTCTCTGCCAGCCCACCACACCATTCTATGCCAGCCCAACACACCATTCTATGCCAGGCCACCGCACCATTCTATGCCAGCCCAACACACCATTCTCTGCCAGCCCACCGCACCATTCTATGCCAGCCCACCACACCATTCTCTGCCAGCCCACAGCACCATTCTCTGCCAGCCCACAGCACCATTCTCTGCCAGCCCAACACACCATTCTCTGCCAGCCCACAGCACCACTCTATGCCAGCCCACCACACCATTCTCTGCCAGCCCAACACACCATTCTCTGCCAGCCCAACACACCACTCTCTGCCAGCCCACCGCATCATTCTCTGCCAGCCCACCACACCACTCTCTGCCTCAGAAGATGCAACAAGTTAATCTATGACTTGAAATTTGGAATGTTTGACTTACCGACTGTACATGCACTAGTCTGTGATAGAGAGCTGCAAACTGTTCATAGTTGATCTCCCCTTTACTCTCCACATCAAACTCCTGAATAACAACAGAAAACATCTGACATGATATCTACACAGCAGGAGTCAATACATGGCATGGAACTGAGAAAGGAACATTCAACAACTTGAAGAAGTTCCACACAGCAGGAGTCAATACATGGCAGAGAACTGAGAAAGGAACATTCAACAACTTGAAGAAGTTCCGCACAGAAGGAGTCAATACATGGCAGGGAACTGAGAAAGGAACATTCAACAACTTGAAGAAGTTCCACACAGCAGGAGTCAATACATGGCAGGGAACTGAGAAAGGAACATTCAACAACTTGAAGAAGTTCCACACAGAAGGAGTCAATACATGGCAGAGAACTGAGAAAGGAACATTCAACAACTTGAAGAAGTTCCACACAGAAGGAGTCAATTCATGGCAGAGAACTGAGAAAGGAACATTCAACAACTTGAAGAAGTTCCACACAGCAGGAGTCAATACATGGCAGAGAACTGAGAAAGGAACATTCAACAACCTGAAGAAGTTCCACACAGCAGGAGTCAAAGAATGACAGGGAACTGAGAAATGAACATTCAACAACTTGAAGTTCAACCAGCAAAGAAGCCTAATTACTGATAAACATTAGAAGTATTGAAATAGAGTTACAAGTAAAATAAAGAGTAATGTATTAAAATAAGGAGATGAATTATAATTAGGAGTAATAAATTAAATTAACAGTAATAATTTGTAATTCTTCTTCTTTTTCTTCAGCATTCCGAGCCCTTGAGGTTCATTGCTGCAGATATCACCTGCCTCCATTCATCTCTCTGGTTGGCTTTCTCTTTCCAGTTGTGACACTAAGTGTGTGCAGGTCTGTCTGGATATTATCTCTCCATCATGTCTTCTTAGTCTGCCTCGTGGACTATAATCATTCAGCTTCCTTGTGTATAGTTTTTACCTGTCTGTCATCTGACATTCTCTCAATATGCCCCATCTATTTCAGTCTGTTAGCTGTCATGATGCCAGTGATCAATGGTGATTCAAACAGATTATGAATTTTGTTGTTGCTTCTCACTCTCCATTCCCCGCTGTTTGCATCTTTGACAAGTCCAAAGATTTGTCGTAAGACTACGTTTTCAAAAACCTCAATAAGGCTTGATCTCTTGTTAGCTGTGCTTCAAGTTTCACAGCCATTTAAAACAACTGCTCTTATCAACGTTTTATATATTATGATTTGGTGTTGTGAGGCAGAGACTATGAGTTTAGCAAATCCTGAAGGGCACAGTATACTTTACTTCCAGATTGTATTCTAGATGATCTGTAATTAAGAGTTCTAAATGAAAACTATTAGTGATGAAGTATTACATTTACTCTCCATTGTACAGTACACTCTGTGTGTTCACAGAGACTGATCATAAGAGATGCATACAAAAGAGAGGACAAGTAGAAAGAGTAAAGCAGTATTTACAGACAAGTGAACAATCAATAAGATAACTAGAGGTGAAGCTGAGACTTGTGGTTATACAGAGAAATCTACAGATTCCACAGCAGGGGGAGAGATCTCTAATACAAGCAGCTGTCAGTTTCAGGCTCAAACCCCTCCTCTACAGCGGACAGTCAAGTCATCAAATATCAGGACATATAAAAGTGAATAGTCTGCTTTGTGACAAACTGTGTACATGAAGCTAACCTCCCATTTCTATAGACAAATAACATCAACAGAGACTGAAATGGTTTGGCTACCTAATCTTCTTTTTTTTTTTCCTTAGCTGTCATTGGCAGTAAACTCTGACAGAAAGTTCTGGTTGTTTGTCCACTTTTGAATTGAGAATACAGTGATGCCAGCAGCGAGAGTCTATAACATAAGAATAAAAACACCAAGAGGCAGAGGCAGATCTAGACAATATGGATTGAAGGAGTACTGACAGTCTGAGACTTGACAACATCACAGCATACCAAGCAACCCAGAGTGCCCTAACTCAGCTAATACCAAGCAACCCAGAGTGCCCTAACTCAGCTAATACCAAGCAACCCAGAGTGCCCTAGCTCAGCTAATACCAAACAACCCAGAGTGCCCTAGCTCAGCTAATACCAAACAACCCAGAGTGCCCTAGCTCAGCTAATACCAAACAACCCAGAGTGCCCTAACTCAGCTAATACCAAGCAACCCAGAGTGCCCTAGCTCAGCTAATACTAAGCAACCAATGCAGTGCCCTAGCTCAGCTAATACCAAGCAACCCAGAGTGCCCTCAGCTAATACCAAACAACCCAGAGTGCCCTAACTCAGCTAATACCAAACAACCCAGAGTGCCCTATCTCAGCTAATACCAAGCAGCCCAGAGTGCCCTAACTCAGCTAATACCAAACAGCCCAGAGTGCCCTAACTCAGCTAATACCAAGCAAAACAGAGTGCTCTAGCTCAGCTAATACCAAGCAACTGAGAGTGCCCTAGCTCAGCTAATACCAAGCAACCCAGAGTGCCCTAGCTCAGCTAATACCAAGCAACCCAGAGTGCCCTAGCTCAGCTAATACCAAGCAACCCAGAGTGCCCTAGCTCAGCTAATACCAAACAACCCAGAGTGCCCTAGCTCAGCTAGTACCAAGCAACCCAGAGTGCCCTAACTCAGCTAATACTAAGCAACCAAGAGTGCCCTAGCTCAGCTAATACCAAGCAACCCAGAGTGCCCTAACTCAGCTAATACCAAGCAACCCAGAGTGCCCTAGCTCAGCTAATACTAAGCAACTGAGAGTGCCCTAGCTCAGCTAATACCAAACAACCCAGAGTGCCCTAGCTCAGCTAATACCAAACAACCCAGAGTGCCCTAGCTCAGCTAATACTAAGCAACTGAGAGTGCTCTAGCTCAGCTAATACCAAGCAACCCAGAGTGCCCTAACTCAGCTAATACTAAGCAACCAAGAGTGCCCTAGCTCAGCTAATACCAAGCAACCCAGAGTGCCCTAACTCAGCTAATACCAAGCAACCCAGTGTGCCCTAGCTCAGCTAATACCAAGCAACCCAGAGTGCCCTAACTCAGCTAATACCAAGCAACCCAGAGTGCCCTAACTCAGCTAATACCAAGCAACCCAGAGTGTCCTAGCTCAGCTAATACTAAGCAACCCAGAGTGCCCTAACTCAGCTAATACCAAGCAACCCAGAGTGCCCTAACTCAGCTAATACCAAGCAACCCAGAGTGCCCTAGCTCAGCTAATACTAAGCAACTGAGAGTGTCCTAGCTCAGCTAATACTAAGCAACCCAGAGTGCCCTAACTCAGCTAATACTTAGCAACTGAGTGTGTCCTAGCTCAGCTAATACTAAGCAACCCAGAGTGCCCTAGCTCAGCTAATACTTAGCAACTGAGAGTGTCCTAGCTCAGCTAATACTTAGCAACTGAGAGTGTCCTAGCTCAGCTAATACTAAGCAACCCAGAGTGCCCTAGCTCAGCTAATACTTAGCAACTGAGAGTGTCCTAACTCAGCTAATACTAAGCAACCCAGAGTGCCCTAGCTCAGCTAATACTTAGCAACTGAGAGTGTCCTAGCTCAGCTAATACCAAGCAACCCAGAGTGCCCTAGCTCAGCTAATACTTAGCAACTGAGAGTGTCCTAGCTCAGCTAATACCTAGCAACCCAGAGTGCCCTAGCTCAGCTAATACTAAGCAACCAATGCAGTTACCTCAGCTAACTATCAACTGTTCTGTGATGCCTAGTGACACAAAGCAGACATGGATTTTTTTTTTTTGTAAAGATGAAAAGCCTCAGTTGGCTCCCTGTACTTTCCAGATAACTTTCTAATATCTGTATATATCTTTTTTTTTTTTTAGGCCAGTTAACTTTTAAAGAACCCTTAGTGCCTCAACAGAAATTTGACACAGTTGACTATCAAGACAGCAAGTAAGAGTGTTATCTGAGCTTCACCTGAAGAAGTAATTAAACACACACAAAAACACAGTCTAGATGATGTCAAATGATAAGACAAGAGAAATAACAAACCTGAAAGCGCTCCCTCAGTTTGTTTGTGGACATTTTATAGTTGATTCTCGGCAGCCATGCTTTCAGATTCTTTAATGTGACCCTTGATTCAATACAGGGGAATACAAAACCACAATAATCATTTAAACACAATAATTAAAAACAATACAACAAAGCAGCAGCATTAAAAGCAACAATGGAACAATTTCTCTTGTTACCTACCCACACAAGAGCATACACCAAAAGAGGAGAAGAATGCTCAACAAGAGGTACACCAGGAATAAGATGGAAAGATAACATCAGGAAAACTCAACAACAGCAAAAGATGTCAATGGTAGAGGCGTCCAGAAGAGCAAGAAACAGAACCTTATATCTCCCTCGAAATCTGAAGTGGTTAATAAAAAAAATGAAGAAGAAGACCAGTTTTTATGAAGTTTATCTTCCCTCAAAGTCAGAGCACATCTGCCCAAGAGGCAGGGAACAAGTATTGCACACACATAAGCAAGTAAAATGGATGTACACGCAAAACCCTGGTCCTGATACAAGGCCAAAGTCCAGGTGGAGGGACAACCAGCACCTTCAGCAGGAACTCACAGCCAGTGAATGAAAAGAAAAGGAAGTAATGAAGCTTATCTAACTCTTTCAGTAGCAAGCAGCTCACCATCCAGCAGATTTGAATTGAATATCATCAGTTTTACTTCAATGCACTGGGTCCTCTTGTATTATTATTTTAACCCAATTTGACCCTGACAGGTCTTTCTTTATGTAACAACTGCTAAAGATATAGTATAAGGAGTTAAAGTTATTCCATCCTGGGGCTGAAAGAGTTAACTCCAGAGTTGTACGGGTTGAAACACAAAATCCACTTCTCCTAGGGATTGAACCCAGACACTGTCTTGGCAGGAAAGCAACAAACTACTACACCAATGCAATTGTATGGAAATATGCAGTAACAGAGAGTGACAATTTTATAATGAAGCAACAGACAAAATGTTGTCGTAGATTCAAACTGCTCACTTTCAAAGAGTTGGGGGATGGATGGTGGTGACTTTGTTCCATCCCTCTAGTCAGCCCACATCCTAAACACCAACATGAATGTGAACTCTACAATAACCAGGCTCAAAACCTGGCAGCTGATAATGAACAATCATCTTCACTGGAACTGCTGTGACTTTCTTAGAGCCTGGCAAAGTGCACAGTCTGGGGTCCTAAAAGGCTCCCTCACAGTGGATCCTCGCAAAGTGCACAGTCTGGGGTCCTTAAAGGCTCCGTCATAGTGGATCCTGGCAAAGTGCACAGTCTGGGGTCCTTAAAGGCTCCCTCACAGTGGAGCCTGGCAAAGTGCACAGTCTGGGGTCCTTAAAGGCTCCCTCACAGTGGATCCTCGCAAAGTGCACAGTCTGGGGTCCTTAAAGGCTCCTTCATAGTGGATCCTGGCAAAGTGCACAGTCTGGGGTCCTTAAAGGCTCCCTCACAGTGGAGCCTGGCAAAGTGCACAGTCTGGGGTCCTTAAAGGCTCCCTCACAGTGGATCCTGGCAATGTGCACAGTCTGGGGTCCTTAAAGGCCCCCTCATAGTGGATCCTGGCAAAGTGCACAGTCTGGGGTCCTTAAAGGCTCCCCCACAGTGGAGCCTGGCAAAGTGCACAGTCTGGGGTCCTTAAAGGCTCCCTCATAGTGGAGACTGGCTACTAAGTCTCTGTCCAGGATTTTTCATGTAGAAAAGAAGAAGAGAGAAACAGAGAAAAACACACTCAGAGAGAGAGAGAGAGAGAGAGAGAGAGATGTTAGAAGCATTAACACCCACCCACCCCCCCCCCCACCCCCAATCATCAGCACATCAGCCCCTCCAGATCCCACAACTACAACAAACAATCAAACAACATATCAACCATGTCAACCACTTACACGTAAGAGCCAATTTTCTCCATAAGGTAGAACTCCTTTCGTAGCCACCTGTCGTCAGAAGAGATCAGACATCAAACATTAGGGACTGGCAGAAATTTAATGGTAACATGACATCAATGAAATGGCTGATACAAAGGCATTGCAGAGATGACAAAAACAAAATCTTACCAATGACATAAATAAAACGGTGAAGATAACACAGATGAAAATAATTTGCTAATTTTGTAGTTACCGTGGAGGTAACACAGAGGACAACTAATCAGCTAATGTTGTAGTTACCATGGAGATAACACAGATGACAAATAATTAGCTAATGTTGTAGTTATCATGGAGATAACACAGATGACAAATAATTAGCTAATGTTGTAGTTATCATGGAGATAACACAGATGACAACTAATTAGCTAAAGTTGTAGCTATCATGGAGATAACACAGATGACAACTAATCAGTTAATGTTGTAGTTACCATGGAGATAACACAGATAAAAACTAATCAGCTAATGTTGTAGTTACCATGGAGATAACACAGATAACAACTAATTAGCTACTGTTGTAGTTACCATGGAGATAACACAGATGACAACTAATCAGTTAATGTTGTAGTTATCATGGAGATAACACAAATAAAAACTAATCAGCTAATGTTGTAGTTACCATGGAGATAACACAGATGACAACTAATCAGTTAATGTTGTAGTTATCATGGAGATAACACAGATGACAACTAATTAGCTGATGTTGTAGTTATCATGGAGATAACACAGATGACAACTAATTAGCTACTGTTGTAGTTACCATGGAGATAACACAGATGACAACTAATTAGCTGATGTTGTAGTTACCATGGAGATAACACAGATGAAAACTAATCAGCTAGTGTTGTAGTTACCATGGAGATAACACAGATGACAACTAATCAGCTAGTGTTGTAGTTACTGTGGAGATAACAGATAACAACTAATCAGCTAATGTTGTAGTTATCATAGAAATAATACAGATGACAACTGATCAGCTACTGTTGTAGTTATCATGGAGATAACACAGATGACAACTAATCAGTTAATGTTGTAGTTACCATGGAGATAACACAGATGACAACTAATTAGCTGATGTTGTAGTTACCATGGAGATAACACAGATGACAACTAATTAGCTGATGTTGTAGTTACCATGGAGATAACACAGATGAAAACTAATCAGCTAGTGTTGTAGTTACCATGGAGATAACACAGATGACAACTAATCAGCTAGTGTTGTAGTTACTGTGGAGATAACAGATAACAACTAATCAGCTAATGTTGTAGTTATCATAGAAATAATACAGATGACAACTAATCAGCTAGTGTTGTAGTTACCATGGAGATAACACAGATGACAACTAATCAGATACTGTTGTAGTTACTGTGGAGATAACAGATAACAACTAATCAGCTAATGTTGTAGTTATTATAAAGATAACACAGATGACAACTAATCAATCAATGTTTTTGTTCTACTTTATCCCTTTAGTCTCTCGCTAGTCACAAGTAATTAGAAGGAGACTGATGATAACAGTGCAGAGTTGAAACATTCACATGTATACAAAGCTAATCACAGGTACAGGAGAGTGGTTTCAAGCTCAGATCCAGAGAGAAGTCAACATGGCCTGTATATGTTTTCTACATTCGACTGACCTCTCTAGCTGCAGCTGGTGACAAGCCTCCTTGGTCTCCTTGACCAGATAGTCCAGCCCTTTCCTCCAGTAGTTGAACTCATCATAGCTATTGGCTGTGCACAAAAGAGGGATCATGCTCAATGAATCATTGTATACATTTGTAATTATATGAGTAATGACTGTGACAAACAACCCATTGTTGTAATCTTATTGTCCAAGAGTTACAGTTTCTTCTAGTTTCTTCTAGTGGTCACAGCGCAGGTGAAAGGTTCACACAGCGGCCACGGGTCGGGTCGTTACCTAGGATACTAGCTAATTGAATTCTGGGCGATTAACAGAAAGGCTCCTGCAGAACACAAAGGATTCGGCAGTCAAGATATTTCCCTTGTTCGAGTCAGACGTTCCTCTTTGTGAGGTTTTGATTAACCGTACTTATGGGAGACAGTTTAATGTCTATTTATTTATTATAATGGCAGGAGTCTATTGAGAAAAGAGTGTAATTCTTTTATATTCTCAGAGTAGATAATAGAGAGTTATTATCGTACGTTTTATTGAATAATCATCATCATCTTGTGACGTGTAACTTTAATGCCATTAAAGTTTATGTGGCCTTTCACAAGCGTTATTGTTGGCTTGTAAAGATAGCAACTGTATTACATGACGCTGTGTCGGTGCCAAGTGTGCCAGTTATAGAATGCAGGACTTCACTTTAGCACATCCATCAAGGAGATATCCAGCGGAATGTTGAATAGGCACCCTAGGCCTAAATACTTGGTTCTGGCAGATACAGTGTACTACAACGAAGTGTACAACAAAGTGTACAACACAAGTGTACAACACCCATGTTGCTTGTTAAGTGGAAAATATGAGTCTATTTTCATTAACTATTACTTCTGAGACTAAGATTGTTAACTATTACTATCTGCTTTATCAAGTGTGATGATGGTTAGCAATGATGAACTCATTTCTGTAATGTCAGAATGAAAAAGCTTTTACATCATTATAATATTTGCCTGATAAATTGTGAAAGCACTGATTAGATATTTATTATACTGGCCTTGGTGTGAGAAATGAAAGACAAGAGAATATAAACAAATGGCAGACAAGCCAACATAAACAAATGACAGACAAGAGAACATAAACAAGTCACAGACAAAAGAACATAAACAAGCCACAGACAAGAGAACATAAACAAGTCACAGACAAGAGAACATAAACAAGTCACAGACAAGATACTATAAACAAATGATAGACAAGAGAACATAAACAAGTCACAGACAAGAGAACATAAACAAGTCACAGACAAGAGAACATAAACAAGTCACAGACAAGAGAACATAAACAAGTCACAGACAAGAGAACATAAACAAATGGCAGACAAGAGACACACACAGAACCTACCTATGACAGACAAAGACTTTAGCTTGAAATCATTCCCATAATACACAGTAAAACTCAAACGAGAGTCCACCTTCTTGGCTTCATCTGGCCACTTCTCAAAGTCTTTGGAGTTTTTTCCACATCGGAATTCTTTCACATCCCGGAGATTTGCTGGCAATTTTATATGTAAAACAAAGATTTAAATTGAAAAATAAAAGATGTAATAAGTGACATATGTAAGCTGTATTTATTAACGATATATTTATAGCTGAGTGTAAAAGATAAATTCACTTACTCATGTCTTTGTGTCCTGTCCTATCACTGAGAGAGAAAGAAAGAGAGTGAGAGGAGAGGGAAGACAGCAAGGAGAGAGAGAAAGCAAGAAGCAGAAATAGAGGCAAGAGAGTGGAGCAGGGAAAAGATGAGAAGTCTCAGAGAGTGGATGAGAGAGATGGTAAGAGTGACACTGAGACAGACTGACAGAAAGACACACACACTAAAAAGAAAGAACAGGCTGTACTTCAAGGAAACAAATACAAATAAATATTGTAGCTTTAAAGAAGCCAGAGCTAAACAAACAGCTGAAGGAAATACAAGACAAGTCAATTTTGAGGCCACAGCTAAAAGGCTTAAAACCCATCTGGAAAGATAAGAAAAAACAAAAGCAGGTGAGCAAGAGGTCAACAGCAATACAAGTGAGAAGAAAATATCATATTAATCAGCTGGACCACGAGCAGACCGTCAGTGTATAGTCAAAACAAGTGGGAAGAAAATATCATATTAATCAGCTGGACCACGAAAAGACCGTCAGTGTATAGTCAAAACAAGTGGGAAGAAAATATCATATTAATCAGCTGGACCACGAGCAGACCGTCAGTGTATAGTCAAAACAAGTGGGAAGAAAATATCATATTAATCAGCTGGATCACGAGCAGACCGTCAGTGTATAGTCAGAACAAGTGGGAAGAAAATATCATATTAATCAGCTGGACCACGAGCAGACCGTCAGTGTATAGTCAAAACAAGTGGGAAGAAAATATCATATTAATCAGCTGGACCACGAGCAGACCGTCAGTGTATAGTCAAAACAAGTGGGAAGAAAATATCATATTAATCAGCTGGACCACGAGCAGACCGTCAGTGTATAGTCAAAACAAGTGGGAAGAAAATATCATATTAATCAGCTGGACCACGAGCAGACCGTCAGTGTATAGTCAAAACAAGTGGGAAGAAAATATCATATTAATCAGCTGGACCACGAGCAGATCGTCAGTGTATAGTCAAAACAAGTGGGAAGAAAATATCATATTAATCAGCTGGACCACGAGCAGACCGTCAGTGTATAGTCAAAACAAGTGGGAAGAAAATATCATATTAATCAGCTGAAACACGAGCAGACCGTCAGTGTATAGTCAAAACAAGTGGGAAGAAAATATCATATTAATCAGCTGGACCACGAGCAGACCGTCAGTGTATAGTCAAAACAAGTGGGAAGAAAATATCATATTAATCAGCTGGACCACGAGCAGACCGTCAGTGTATAGTCAAAACAAGTGGGAAGAAAATATCATATTAATCAGCTGGACCACGAGCAACCGTCAGTGTATAGTCAAAACAAGTGGGAAGAAAATATCATATTAATCAGCTGGACCACGAGCAGACCGTCAGTGTATAGTCAAAACAAGTGGGAAGAAAATATCATATTAATCAGCTGGACCACGAGCAGACCGTCAGTGTATAGTCAAAACAAGTGGGAAGAAAATATCATATCAATCAGCTGGACCACGAGCAGACCGTCAGTGTATAGTCAAAACAAGTGGGAAGAAAATATCATATTAATCAGCTGGACCACGAGCAGACCGTCAGTGTATAGTCAAAACAAGTGGGAAGAAAATATCATATTAATCAGCTGGACCACGAGCTGACCGTCAGTGTATAGTCAAAACAAGAGATTACGAAACATCGAAGATGCACTTTCATCTTCTCAGTGTGGCTTCCAGGATTTCATTTTCGTGGGGGGGGGGGGGGGGGGGGGGGGGGGACAGAAAAGAGCAACTGCTCCTTAATAAGCATGTCACTAAAAGGTCCCTAATTAAGGATTTGCCAAAACTGGATGTAATGAGCCGAAAGGAATCATAACTCTACAATCACTAAGTTAAAAACCTGGCAGCTGATAATGATCAATCATCTTTACTAGAACTGCTGTGACTCTCTTGTTGCCTGGCAAGGTGCTCCCTCACAGTGGAGACTGGCTCTCTCTCTTATTTTGTCAAAGTCTCTGCCAAGATTTTCCATGTAGACAAATAGCTGTAAACCACAATATAATGTGCCAATCACCATTTGACAGGTGAATGCAACACAAAGATTGTAGTCTTTTTTCAGTGTGGAGAATGCACTTGGGTGATTGTTGTAATCATTATAGTTACACTGAGGAGAGCAGTTCACAGGTTACATACCAATGCCTTCTGGACGACTTGCCTCCCGTTTGATCCACATCAGCTGCCGGCTCTCCAGCTTGACCTTCAAGGTGCGTCTCTCTGGTCGCTTCCTGTAGAAGAAGATTGTGGTGACCAGGCCCATCTCCAGGAGCCTCATGACCTCTACAATATCAGGAGTGGGTGGGCCTCCATTGACCATCACTGCCGAGGCCATTGTGCGCCAAGCTTGTGCGTTTCAATACTGGGCAGAAGAAGAAAGCAACAAAGATTTAACATTTTTGCTCTCAAATAGAAGATTGCTGGAATGTGCAGTGGCTGAGACAACATGGTCAATAGAAATTGCATGGCTCAAAGTGTGAAAGCAATCCATAACAATCATCATTCGCCACCACCATCCACCAAGCTCTGATATCTTTCCCCCACAAACTGTCTCTTAGCTGTCAAACCCCCTCCTCCCCTTTTTCCATGTAGCATGTCCAATAAATCCCGACCATGCCTTCTTTCTCTGATCAGTAAACACAGTCATCATCTGTCTCTTGAAGAGCTGCCTCTGTGAGATGACTAACCATACTGGATTAAATATCAATAAAAAAGATAGTTTGCCAGTGCTTTCTTTCTTACTAGTAACCATTCTGTCACTACAGGGTGAGCCTCCGTCCCCACTGAGTACCTTGAGACCATAACCAATCACTGTCACTACAGGGTGAGCCTCCGCCCCCACTGAGTACCTTGAGATCATAACCAATCACTGTCACTACAGAGTGAGCCTCCGCCCCCACTGAGTACCTTGAGACCATAACCAATCACTGTTTCTACAGGGTGAGCCTCCGCCCCCACTGAGTACCTTGAGACCATAACCAATCACTGTCACTACAGGGTGAGCCTCCGCCCCCACTGAGTACCTTGAGACCATAACCAATCACTGTCACTACAGGGTGAGCCTCCGCCCCCACTGAGTACCTTGAGACCATTACCAATCACTGTCACTACAGGGTGAGCCTCCGCCCCACTGAGTACCTTGAGACCATTACCAATCACTGTCACTACAGGGTGAGCCTCCACCCCCACTGAGTACCTTGAGACCATAACCAATCACTGTCACTACAGGGTGAGCCTCCGCCCCCACTGAGTACCTTGAGACCATAACCAATCCCTAACTGTCAGCTGTTCTCAAACTCAATCCCCAATCCTGTCCTACAGCAACTAGACAGCCAGCACTAACTGGAGTGTGACACAGGGAGAGGAGAGACACTGAGCAATCAAACAACATAAATGATAATAACTAAGACAGTTACATACAAGCTGTCAGTGTGGCTGACATGTTTATGATATGTTAATCTTCAAACCCACATAAAGGTTTCAGATAAGACCCTCCAGAGAAAATCCACAATCTCTGGAACCAGCTGACAAAAGCATGGTCACCTGTGATAGCTTTTTTATAATGGCAAATTAATCAACAAATGGTTACTGAACTCAAAGTAATAGCACTCCACACATTCTGCATTCAACTGAATTGTAAAGCATATTTCAAGGGGACGTGGCTGACTTTTCTGCACCAGGTTTTATCCTATATGGTTCGGTCTCTCTGGACAGTGGTTGGTTACACCCCCCCCCCCCTACACCAAGAGCAACACACAATGCATGAACCCTATGTCTCCTGGACAACCTCCAGGGATCATCAAAAATAAACAAAAGACCAGTATAACAAAATCACTTGGACCCAGTTATGTCCCATTGGCTATGACTAAGCTCCAAGATAAACCATCATAGTTTTGACAAATGCAGTTCTATCCCTTACGTCCTTCTTAGGACGTAATTTTGTGTTATTTGAAGCCCCACTCTGGCTTTTGCCAAGGGCCGCAATATAGGCAGGCCATCAATATGGCCAATTGTCTGAATGCGGTTTCTGGGACCTCTGCACGGTGATCATCATCCGCATGGTGGCACTTTGTGTCATCGGGTGTTTATCGCTTGTGTGATGTCCTGGTGGGGTAGAAAGTCAATCAATCAAATGCAGTTCTTCTACCATAAACGTTTATCTGCCATTACACCTATGCTCTGTGTGCTAATCAGTCATCGCTAACGGTCATCTAGGTGTTGACTTCCAGGAGTTGATGTTCTAGCACAGAAACCAATAACACTGCACTCCCTGCAAATAGTTGCTGTACTCAAATACTGTCCCCAACTGTTACTTCAACAGATACTTCACCTCTACAGGTACTTTTGTTTGAAATAACTTCAGATCCAGTCATTTCTTCAAGTACATTTCTGAGGATACAAGTTTACCTGTGTCTATTTTGAAAGAGTTAAAGACAGAACATTTGTCTGTTTTACTGATTAAAGACCACTTTTCTGGATACACAGAAATAGATTAGGATGGGGTGTTCTCAAGATAGAGGTGAAGATGAAGTTCTAGAAAAATTCATAGGATAAAATTACTGGACAAAGCAGGCTACCTCCTTGTCACATCTTCTCCTCCGGGGTCATGCTGGTTTTATATTGTTTCAAATATGAACAGTTGAATCAGAAACCTACCTAATAAAATTTAAATTTAACGTTTATTGAATTCCTGTGCAGTCATTTGCACCGTCTTCTTTGATTAATAATATAATTACTGTTTACATTAAATAATGAACAACTAAACAGACCCAGCAACACAACTCTGAAAGATGACAATACATTCATTCATTGTCCCGTTGAGCCATTATATGTCACATAAGGTTCAGTCTCTTTCACCATTCATTTATATACTGTGCAATCACTCGGATTAAATCACAATTATAACTATTATTAGCACTGATGAACTAGTCACCAACATAGAAACATATTATTATTATAATAATCATTATATCATATTACATGCTGAAGATGAAATTTAAAAAAAACGCGACGTTAGTGAGGGTGTTTAATTTTGCAGCAGTCACTAAGTCGACCAAAGAACCAGTAATACATGTGGTTTGACCAAGTCAAACAACGACTACTGCACTGATTCAAAACTACTAACTCACAGTTCACACCCCTACTACATCTCACCACTCACCCACAGACGGTTTCTTTCCATTGACTGACTCACTCCCTATGATGAATTACTATAAATAAACAACAAACAAACAAAACAATGCAACACCATTATCAGCCCACCTGACTGTCGCGGATGTGTACGGTTCAGTCTTCTATGATATCCCGTCACAAGTGAAGTGAAATAGTTGCAACATGTAGGTAAAATACAGTTAATACCAGAAACATTGTGAAATCTCGGCAACGGTTGGCAGCAGAAGGCTAGCTGCCATCTTTCACTTCCGGGTGGACGTCTGGACAGGGGAGACTATTGCTGTGGCAAACAGGCAGAAGTTCTTTTCCCTGATACTCAAAACCTTCATGTGGCTGGGCTGGGGGCTGGCATTGGCGATAATGACGCTCTTCCTTTCTTCTTCTTCTTCTTCTTCTTCTTCTTCTTCTTCTTCTTCTTCTTCTTCTTCTAGTGCCTTGACTGGAGAAGACTTGGAGATCTTAATTATTTTTGTTTGTGGTTTAGATCTGGTATCGGTGTTCACTATGCTTTTCTTCTTGCGCCTAATCTGAAGCTGATAATTCCAGTTCTCATGTACAATCCCTCTTTTCACAACATCATCAAAGAATGCCATTTGTCAACGTTCTCGTTAACATCTTTTCGTCTTCCCAGACGGAGTAACTAACTCCAGGATATCTACCGACACCGCGGTCTGATATGACAATTCATACGGTGACAATCTTAAACAACTGACATGTGCTCCTAGTCTAACAATGGTTACCTGAAAGTGTTGAGGAAAAGTAGGTGCATGCAGGGGCGTAGGAGGGGAAAGGGTGCGAACCACCCGGGTGTTGTCGATGAGGGCGTGACAAAGTAGCAAAAATATGTGTTTACACACACACATTACATATATAAGCAGGTGCCGCCTGACCTTGCTACGCCACTGGTTGGTGAGAAGATGCCAGCTGAGAATCATCAAGCAGGCACTGAAATAGGCAACAAATGAGCACTGATGAGAGAGACTCAAGTTGCTGGACTGCGTTCCACACATGATATATATTGAAAGGATTGTACCTGACACAGTGGAGTGGAAGACAAGACTGTGAATCCTATGGGACATATGGTGACACATCAGCGTGACAATGATGATGATGATGAAAGGCGATTTGTGCCATACTGACCGTATCACTAACTGAGTAATATTTTTTGGTTATAAACATGTAGGGTTAGCATCATGTGTCTGGAAACAGGCTGTTTTCTTTTTTTTTTTTTTTTTTTACTTTGAGCTTTCGGAATTGGATCCTGCTGGTTGCTAGGAAGTTCGTACGCTGTGCCGAGATTCTCACAGGGCTGACAGGAGCAGTTACACGGATAGTCATATACACAGTTAATCCAGTTCATATTTGTACTCGTCACCCTAATTTGCGTTGATTGTCATGTTTGCCCACAATCTTCTGCCTTAACTATTGTCACATACAGTCATTACAATTGTTTCTTCAGCATCTAATTCACAGCCGATGTTTGACACTCATTCGCCAGTTTGTTCATTACCCATGGCAAACGTATGTTCATCAGTCTTATCATTGTCCACGACGCTGTCGTACATCAGACAGACAGATTTAGGCAATGTATCCGGAAAAGGACAGGGATGTGTACTATCACCTGATTTGTTTTCAATTTACAGTGAATAAATAATGAGATCTTTAAATGATATGCCTGGAATTAAGGTTGGTGGGCACAATATAAACAATTTACGTTATGTTGATGACACAGTCTTGATAGCAACAAGTCAGAAAGAACTACAGGAAATGATAGACATTGTGGTGTTAGAAAGTGGAAGAATGGGCCTCAGTTTGAATAATGGGAAGACAGAAGTAATGGTGGTATCAAAGAAACGAATTATTCCTAAATGTGTAACAAAAGTCGATGGTGTTATTTTAGGACAAGTACAGAAATGTAAGTGTCTTGGCACATGAAAAGCTTAAGATGGAAAATGCGTAACTGAGATAAGAAACAGGACAGGCAAAAACTGCGTTTAAAAAATGAAGAACATCTTGTGCAATATATCCTTGTCATTGAGAGTTAGAAAAAGAATTCTTGCTTGCTACATACATCCTGTTTTAACATATGGCTGTGAATCCTGGACAATCGGTAGGCAGGCCAAACAATTTCTTGAGGCCTCAGAGATGTGGTTTTACAGAAGA